TCTCCTCTCCTCTCCTCTCCTCTCTCTCCTCTCCTCTCCTCCTCCTCTCCTCTCCTCTCCTCTCCTCTCCTCTCCTCTCCTCTCCTCTCCTCTCCTCTCCTCTCCTCTCCTCTCGACGTCCCCTCGCAGGTATCAGTGGAGCTCCACCATTCCTCCGAATCTTCTTCCAACAGCTCACCTCTGCCTTCCCCGACGCTGATTGGCACTCTGTGTCTGCCGGACCTCATGCCGGGCCACATCCCGGACCTCATTCCGGACCACATTCTGGGCCTCACGCCGGGCCGCACTCCGGACCACATTCCGGGCCTCATGGTCCCCCGCACGGACCTCCGAATCATCCCCCTCATGCCTCACCGCATCCCCCTTCCCAAGGCCAACCGCACCCCTCCTCTCACCCATCCCCCCACCCTCCCCCTCAAATGCTCCACTCCCTCTCCTCTCACTCATCCCCCTATCCCCCAAACCATCCCCCCCAATCCGGACCTTATCCCTCTCAGCATCCCCATCCCCCCCATCCCCAACACGCCCCCCATCCTCCTCAGGGGAGACAGGGCCCTCACCACCCCTCCCCTACCCCTCCCCCCACCCTCGCAACCAAACATCACCAACCCCCCAGCACTTCTCACACCCAGACTCAACCCGAGAGGGTTCACTCCCCCCCCACCCCATGCCTCCCCTCCACGAACCCCCTTTCCCCCACGCAAACCCCCACTTCTCGTCCCTCCCGCCCCCCCTCTCCTCCGCCCATCCTCCCTCTCACCCGCCCTCGCATGCTCCCCAGCACCGCCTCTCACTCCCTCCCAACGCTCCCAACCATCCCACCAACCGGCAAATGCTACCCGATAGGCAGTCATTTCAGGATCGCCTTCCCCCCTCCTCTCACCCTCCTCCCTCCTCTCACCCTCTGCCTTCCTCTCACCCTCTGCCTTCCTCTCACCCTCAGTTTTTAGGACAGCATGACCAGCACAATCAGCACAACCCCCCCCACATGCCGCCTCCCCCACACAATCCAAACTTCAACAACCCTCTCTCTCACTTCCCCAGGGATTCTGGTCCGGGAAGGCCTGGGTTTTCCGAGCCTCCAGGCCCGGGGAGGCAGAGATTTACCGAACCGTTAGGTCCGGGACGACAGGGGTTTTCCGAACCTGGAGGCCCGGGAAGACATGGTTTTCCTGAGCCGTTGGATGATCGGCAGCACGGATTTCCCGAGCCTCCTCCTCGAGGTATGATGGGAGGTCCGAATGAACCCATGCCTCCGCCGCAGGTTCGGTGGCAGGGAGGTCCGGGAGATGGCCCGGGACATCCAGGAGGGGGGATGGGAGGGGGGAGAAGAGGTGGAGGGAGAGGGGGAGGGAGAGGGGAAGGGAGAGGTATGGGTAGGGGGGAGTTTCCTGGGGCGGAAGGGGGAGGGATGAGGGGAGGGAGGGGAGGGAGGGGAGGAGGTAGAATGGGCCTGGGAGGAAGGGGGAGGGGTGGAGGGGGGAGAGGAGCAAGTGGAGGAGGAAGGGGAGCAGGAGGCAGGGGGGGAGGGGGAGGAGGAGGAACACCAGTGGCACCAACTGCAGCTGCAGCAGCAGCAGCAGCGGCAGCAGAAGCAGCAATGGCTGTAGCAGCAGCGTCGCAGCAAGCGAGGAGAGGGAGTGATGCGGGAGGGGAGGAGAGAGGTGACAGAAGCCCTCCCAGAAGGCGACAAAGACTGGACGACTAAGATCTTTTGTTTTCTAACTTACTGCTGGTAGGGTTGGTTTGACCGATACACCTAACCACCGCTATTTTCTTTCGGTCTATCTTCAACCCCCACGTGTGCAAAGGGGTAGGCACCCTTCAAAACGTTTTTGACCGAGGGTTGTGTCGGACGTCATACGCTCTACGCAGAGTTAGTTCCTGACTCCTGAAAGCTACGCAATGGGATGCGCAACAAGGAGCAGACTCCACACGAGCCGAAATTGTCTTACACTCGCCCGATTGAAATCTCCATTTGATGTCATTCATAGTCCCCTATAACGAGGTTTCTAACAGAAAACCCCAAAAGCTGGGCAGGGATTACATGAAAATCGGGAACAGTGCCAAGGTCAGAAGTTGAAAATAGCGGTGGCTAGGTGTACATCACAACTTTGTGCTGCTCGAGTTGGGGTTGAAGAGCATTAAAGCCTGATTTGACACTCTAACCAGAGAGGGGCTAGGATATGGATTAGATTTGGAAGGGCGTCAGCCAGATGAACAAGATGGACTTAGCAATCTCTGTGTGGTGTGCTTTCTCATAATGGGTTTGTGGTTACCATACATCGTTTCACTATCTTGAAGGTGTGGGTGCAGCGGGGATAAATGTGTGGCGGGCCGTGAATGTTCCACCACGCCAGTCTGACATGGATATTTTGAATCTGCTCTTGTGCTGAGTAGACCAGCATTTTCCGATGGACCCCGTGAAATCTTCGAACCGTGTGCTTCGTGGGGTGTTCATGACGTGGAGACACGTTATAACCGCATCGTTTTCAATGATGTTTTCAATGCACCCATAAAGTTTGCAAATCGGAGGGACTGCTTTACTGTCCGCATGAAATTTCCAGATGCGCTGGTGCTTGTCCCTCCTCAGGATCGGGCAGTCCATTCTATGTACCCAGAAATATGTTGCGTACAGGGCAACCAGCTAAACTTATTCTGCACCTTTTCATCCTTAGCAAACGAATTGCAGGTCTTTCCTGATCGACACGCTGCTTGGCGCTCGCTGATTCGCTTACTCCACCCAATACTTGGGCGGCGAATGGACGACGCGCGGATGCACAACCCTTCTCGCTGGTTCGTTTTTTGGCAGCCGCAACTGCGCTCCCGCCACCTCCTTTTGCTGACTGATGCAGGGAGAGAGGGAGTGAGTGCGTGAGTGGAGTGGTCAGAATAATTCGAAAGTGCACTATATCGAGGACTTGATTTTGGGTCTAAACTCAACTCCACACCCTCCCTCTCCCTTGCCTCTTTCGTGTTCACTATATATCCTACGCCCTCTTGTCTGCGCTACCTACTTACTCGGCCTCTGCCTCGACGTTCCTACTCACCCGTTAGCTCGTGCCTCTCCGTTCGCTCGGCGTTCTTGCCTCGGCCTCGCACATTTTGACACTGTCGGTTAGGTGCGGCTAGTTGCAGCAACGTACGGTTAGGCACAGTTAAGTACGGTTAGCTGCGGCCAGCGTAGCATTCACGCCCAGCGTAACGATGACGCACTCAATGCGTCTGGCCAGGACGGGCCCAGCGGCGGTAGCTCGTTGGGATTTGCCGCCGTTAGAGTTCACCAGCGGCATTCCCGGCGGCGGCAGATGCGGAGCAGTCGATCGATCGCTGCGATGCATGCGAACGTGTCGCTCGGCAGTTGAAACGTCGCATAGCCGACTAGTACGAGCGGCGCTGGGGTGTAGCAGCACCTGCGACAGTTGCGCGCCGGAGCTGCGAATGCTACGTGGCGACCCCGCCGCATCTACCGCCGCATCTACCGCCGCGGCAACACATACGGCGACTCGATCTACAAGCGGTGCGCTTACAAGCCCCGCGGCTCGATCCTGTCGACACCAGCCGCAACTTTCCGCTGAACAACAGCAGCGCTGGTTGCGGCGGGAATCGCGGCAAGATACGATCTGGCCGCGAAGCCCATGGCAGGGCCAGGCGAGGTTCTTACGGAGGGAGTTGCGGCGGCAAACCCGGGGATTTAGACACGCGGCGACGTGTGCAGGTGACGAGGGAGTCGGTCCCGCGCCTGGGGGTGTAGAGCTCGGTGGAGTGGAGGAGCCCGGCGTTGTTAACGAAAACAGAGCGGTATTTCGCGATGGCATCGATAAGAGCGACAGCGGTCAACATCAGCCTTCGTTAGAGTCGCTTTCGGGTGTAACACCGCCAAACGGAGCAGCTAATCACGCGGCGACGGCGGCTCCGTTTGTCAAAGACGCAACCCCGGGTTCTAGAAGCGGGGGCGGCACCATTCTGGGAGCCGTGGCGCTCATTATAGGAACGTCCGTTGGCGCGGGCGTGCTGGCGCTGCCTGCGGAGACTGCACCCGCGGTAAGTTTGTTGCGTGGAGGGGGGGCGTTGTTTGTGGGGGAAGCGTGATAGGGGGGAAATGGTTAAGGAGGGCGCGGGCATGCTGGCGCTGCCCGTGGAGACTGCACCGCGGTAAGTTTGTTGCGCGGGATGTGGGCGGAAAGGAGAACGGGGATATTGAGAGGTGAAGTTGACCGCGACTCGCGGAGACTCGTATCCTCCTGCATTCCTCCCTCACTCGCGTTTCCTCTTTCCCCTTTCCCTTCCCTCCCCACCTCCCCCCCGCCCTCCGCATCCCCCTTTCCCCCTCCTTCCCGCCCTCCGCATCCCCCTTTCCCCCTCCTTCGTCCCCATCCTTTCTCGAATGTATTTTCTCAGGGTGTTTTCCCCTCGTCATTCGTGCTAATAGCCTGCTGGGCCTTCCTGTGCCTCGAAGCTCTGCTGCTGGCGGAAGTCAACGTCGCTCTCATCAAGGAACGATTCGTTCGTAGCAGCACCGTTAGCAGCAGCACGGCTACTACTAGTACCGTTAGCAGCAGCAGCGGCGGGAGTGGCGGCAGCAGCAGCAGTAGCGGCCCTAGCAGCGGCGTTACCAGCAGCAGGTCCGGAGATGCAGGTTCGGAACCCGAGGCTGAGCGAGGCTCGGACGTCCTGTCGTACCGAACCATGGCCGAGGCGACTCTGGGCCCTGTGGGCGGCACTGTAGCTACAGTAGCATACGTCTTTTTGTCATTCACCCTTATAGTCGCATATTTTGCAAAAGGAGGGGAAGTCTTGGCGTTTGGCACAGGTCTCCCCAACTGGGTGGGTGCTGTGGGGTTCTTTGCGGTGCTGGGTGGTTTAATCTACAGTGGCAGCACCAGAACAGCGGATATAATAAACCGGGTATTGACAGCCGGTTTGTTGGGGATATTTACCCTGCTGGTCTGCGGAGGGGCGGCAATCGCGGACTGGGATGAGCTGGCAGTCGCTGATTGGTCAGAAATGCCGACCACTCTCCCAGTAATCTTCCTCGCACTGGTCTTCCACGATTTGATTCCCGTGATCTGCACGTATCTGGACGCGAATCTGGGGAAGATTCGGGCGGCAATCGTGATCGGCAGTGCAGCACCATTGACGATGTTTCTAGTTTGGGACGCCATTGCTCTCTCTATCTCTCCTTCTGTTCTCACTTCCACTGCTGCAGCCGCCGCCGCTGCTCCTGCCGGTGCTTTTTCCCTCACCTCCCTCTCCTCCGCCGTCTCCTCTCTCTCCTCCTCCCTCTCCCACCTCGCCTCCTCCCTCCCCTCCTCCCTCTCCACCGCCCTCTCCACTCCCTCACTCTCTCACACGCTCTCCACGCCCTTCCAAGACCCGCTGAACCTCCTCCTCCTGCAAGGCTCGCCGCTCCAAGCCTCAGTCGTTCTCGCGTTCTCTTTCCTCGCCGTAGCAACATCGTTCCTTGGCACGTCACTAGCCCTGGCGGAATTCTTTATGGAGCAGCTGGGATTGATAGCTGCTGGTGGGGACAAGAGGAGAGGAGGCGAGGAGGAGCAACTGGGGTTGATTAGAGCAGGTGACAGGAGGGATGAAGAGCAGCTGGAGCTGATAAGCGTGGGAGACAGGACGAGAAACGGGGAGCAACAGGGGCTATTATACCTGAACAGCCAGAGGAATCAAGCTAAGGAGCAGCAGGAGTCAGCAGTTACCGCTGCAGATTTCATGGAAACCGGATTAGGGTTTGTGAGGTCGCATGTGAGGGAGGTGGGGTTTCTCCTGGCCCTCTGCCCGCCGCTGCTGGTGGCTCTGGCGAATCCTGGCGCGTTTGTCGCAGCGAGCAAGGCGGCTGGCGCATACGGCATGACCGTGCTGTATGGGATCATGCCTCCACTCATGTTCTACGCACATCACAAGCAGGTGGGTTGGTTGTGCGTGTGCGTGAGTTGACTGTGGTTGTGATTATACCAGAGGCAGCAGGCGCATACGGCATGACTGTGCTGTATGGGATAATGCCTCCACTGATGTTCTACGCGCATCACAAGCAGGTGAGGAAGGTGGGGTTCAGGCCTTCTCCCTCCCTCTCACGCAAGGCAGCCTCGAATGAATTCTTTTTTTCTGCTCTCCCTCCCTCTTTCCCTCCTCTTTCCCATTCCCCCCCTCGCCACCTGCTGCCTGTAATCTGGCGTTATCCCAAGCAGGAAGCAATAGTGTGCGACCCAGCAACCAAGGATTGTTCAACACACCATCGCTGACTGTAGCCGGGAGGCAGCTTTGCTCTGGCCAGCATGGGGGCCTGCGCTTTCTCCGTCATCGCCGGGCAAGCCACTTATATGCCTAAGAGACCTGGTCAATTCCTCCTTGACACTTCCTTCCCCACCTCCCATGTTACTCCACCCCACCATGAGCAGGAGGCAGTAGTGTGCGACCCAGCAACCAAGGACTGCACCCAACACCACCGGTGGCTCGAGCCGGGGGGAAGCTTCGCTCTGGCCAGCATGGGGGCGTGCGCTTTCTCCGTCATCGCGGGGCAAGCCCTGCTCGATTCCTCCCTCAGCGCATCCTTCTTGTCTTCACGAGGGGAAGGAGGGGCGTTCGTCCTCGCTCAGAGCGACTCGGTACTGGATAGCAGCGCGCAACAGTGTGGTTCTGCTGCCAGCAGCAGCGGTGACGAAATGGGTAGGAGCAGCAGAAGCAACAATGACATCGATAACGATAACAGCAGCAGCACCAGCAGCAGCAGTGTGGATCTGGCTTCCTGCTCTGGTGCAGCAGCAGCGGTAGCGAACAGTCCTGCTAACGCTCGTTTGGTCAACCCTCCTCTCGTGTTTGCGAGCCAATCGGCTCCTGACACATCAGACCTGCAACTGCCTCTGCCTGACGGTCTAAGTGTTGTTGAGATATGAAACGTGTTTTGATATTGTCATCAGCGTTGTGCTTGATAGTCATTGATTTGTAAGTCGAATGCTTACAACGTACTCAGTATACCAATAGATAAGTCACACATAGTCCGGAGTGCTTGGATCCTAAACAAGTCAACGAAAGAAACGCTGATTTAGGTAAAACGGGCTGAGATTCAGACGTTTTTTCAGGTTGAGACTGAATTTCCAGTCTCTTTCTTTCACCTGTACTCTGTTTTTTCAGCCTTTTTCTCTAGTGAATCACCCACCAATGCGTCCATTGAATAATCGTTTGTGACTAGTAGCGAGTTGTTTCTGGTGAGGGCATGCATCGTCACGATTGGTCTGGCGTTCCACATGCCGCATCCGATTGGTCTGTAAAATCGACATTCTACTGGTGGAGATGCTGTGACGTGGAATTGAAGGCGAATCAGAGGCATCAGAAGCTGCTGGGGAGTGTGAAACATGACTCACACGAGCCAATTTCCTGTCACTTCCAGCGTGGATCTTCGTGTGTCTAGTAACACACCGCTGACAGGAAACATACCCAAGAACGTGGTTTTAAGTGACCCTTCATTATCTGAAGAGGTATGACTAGACGCTTATCCTGAACTCTCACTGGATGAGATCAGGTTCGTGTCACCGGCCGAGCCTCATTTTATGGCTCTCGTTGGCTGATCAAAGGTTACCACACACACGAGTTCTCAGATCGCTCCGTGATTGGCTAGCTGGCCACACTCGTGCCGTAAACGCCACAAGTTTTTCCCTTCCCCACTTCCTCCCCATTCGAAACCAACTGCGCGACAAAGAGGACCAGACTGCGGTGGGCCCGTGGTTGCGTTGCGACCCGCGCGGGCTTGCGCCTTCGGACAAACCAGCGGGGGGGCGCAAGTCCACGTCAATTCTTCCCAGCTACCCCGTCCGCGAGGGGCCATTTCCCCGCAGTTTGTGCGAGCGCTCGTGTGGTTTTTCTGCTCTTCCAGTTCTCCCGCGCATTTCCGCGCCAACGCTCCTCCTGCCCAGCTCCTTCTGGGCAGTGCTGCTGCGGTTCGAGATTCCAGAATCCGCCGCCTCTGCGCGGGTCCGCCCAATCTGCGGAAAAAGGTGTTGCTTTGCCCGTCAAGAATATCCCCCCCAAACACCCCCCCCCCCCCCCCCTTACTTCCTCCGGCTGACCAACCATCCCCATCCCCCCATTTCCTTCCCCCATCCCTCGCTGGCCCCGATCAGCTTTCCCCCGGCTGTCTGTCCGTCACACCCGCGCTCACGACCAGGCAAATCCAGCCCCAGATTGAACGTCTAAACAGGGAGGCGTGTATTTCACTATAAATCAAGTCCTAGCATCTCATACCTCAGTATTGTACAGCATTCAGCATCTTTTCCTAGCCCAACCAGACCTGATCATCGCACCTTTCCTTCGTTCCAGCGCCTGAGCCTACCAACCCCTTGTATAGTTCGCCTCCTTTCCGCGAACAGACCAACCGACAGCTTTCCTGGAGCTTCGATACCGATCCTTATTGAACCTGACTCACTGACCACCCAACACGTCCAATCATGGCTCTTACCGCTGGAACGACGACAGGTTGCCTGTCAACCGTGCGTGCGCTTAGCAGCGCTGCCATCACCTGCGCTTCCTACGGCCCCAGCTCGAGACAGCTGCATGTGCCGCAGGGCTCGCTTCTCAGACTGCCACGTGGCGACGCCACGGCAGTTTCCGCGATGATCGGAACCGGGCTTGGGTCAGCTCGAGCTCTTTCGTCTAGCTTCGTAAACGTCGAACAAAGAGGGTTACCCTCTCTGCAGCAATCCATTCGTCGCCGCCAACTAGCCCCCCGGACTTCACGGCATGAAGTGCGGGCATCCGTCGCAGGAGATAGAAGTGACTGCCCGCGCGAGGATGTAGCGAAGGATGCGGTATCTGCGGAACCCCCTGCGTCGCGGAGCGGCGGCGGCACTATCCTCGGTGCAGTCACACTCATTATTGGCTCGTCCGTCGGCGCGGGCGTGCTGGCCTTGCCATCCGAAACCGCTCCTGCGGTAAGTGAAGGACCACCGCCGCCCAGGTTGGGCCAAGGAAGGGGAGGGAGGGGCGGGGGCCGGGGGGAAAGAATGGGTAGGAGGGCGGGGAAGATGGAGCTTTGACTTGCTGCTTTCTTGGTTTGTTTCGTATCTGACCTTTTTTTCTCTCTCTCATTCCTTGTGCTCGTGCTTCTGTTTTCTCAGGGCTTCTTTCCCTCGTCCATGGTCCTCATCGGCTGTTGGGCCTTTCTCGTGCTCGAGGCGCTGCTGCTGGCCGAAGTCAATGTCTCGCTGCTCAAGGAGCGATCCGATAAAAGCAACACCGCTAACGCGTCTGGTGCCGAGGCTGAGCGAGGTTCGGACGTCCTTTCCTACCGAACCATGGCCGAGGCGACGCTCGGGCCTCTGGGCGGCACGATCGCAACCGCAGCGTATTTATTCTTGTCGTTTACACTCATGGTGGCGTATTTCGCCAAGGGCGGCGAAGTGATGTCGTTGGGGACGGATTTGCCGCGTTGGCTCGGTGCATCGGGGTTCGCAGTGGTGCTCGGCGGTTTGATCTACTGCGGAAACACGCGCACGGCTGACCTCGTCAACCGAGCTCTGACCGCCGCCCTGCTTGGTACGAACCATTCTTTCGTTTTCTATCGCGTATGTGTTATCTGCCGCCACCCGTTTGACCCTCTCCACTGTATGACACTCGACGCTCAATTCTTTTCCACCCTTCGTTCGGCCCCCTCTTCGTCTCCTTCTTTCGCTCACAGGAATCTTCGCGGCTCTGGTTTGCGGAGGCTCCACACTTGCCGACTGGGACCAGCTGGGCTTCGCTGATTGGTCCGACATGTCATCCACGCTCCCCGTCATCTTCCTCGCGCTCGTCTTCCACGATCTCGTCCCCGTCCTCTGCGCGTACCTCGACGCGGATCTCAGGAAGATCCGCACCGCGCTCCTCGTCGGCAGCTCCGTGCCGCTCGCCATGTTCCTCACCTGGGACGCGATCGTGCTCTCCATCTCGCCGTCCTCCATCGCCGCCGCCGGCGCCGCCGGAGCCGCTGCCGGCGCTAACGCCAGGGATCTCGCGTCGTCCGTCCTCTCGTCCGTTACCGCCGTCGGATCGTCGTTCGCGAATCTCGCGTCGTCGTTCCCTACGTCTCTCGCGACCGCGCTCTCAGCCCCCGCGTTTCCCGCTCTCGCGTTCCCCGCACAGGACCCCTTCCAGCTCTTCATGCACCAGGCCACGCCCCTCCAATCAGCCGCTGTCCTCGCGTTCTCGTTTCTAGCCGTTGCCACGTCATTCCTCGGATCCTCCCTCGCGCTGTCCGAGTTTTACATGGAGCAGATCGGTAACTTGGTTTTCGGCGGGAAATCCGCGGAGGCCAAAGCGGAGGATCAGAACCTGAAGCAGCAGGAGAGTGTTGCTAGTGGGGTTCATATCAAGGAGGCGGGGTTAGGGTTCGTAAGGTCGCATGTGAGGGAGGTGGGGTTCTTGCTGGCCCTCTGCCCGCCTCTCGCGGTAGCTTTGGCGAATCCGGGTGCGTTTGTTGCGGCGAGTAAGGCGGCTGGTGCATACGGCATGACTGTACTGTACGGTATCTTGCCGCCATTGATGTTCTACGTTCATCATAAGCAGAAGGCGGAGAAGGAGGTTAAGGCGACTGGTTCGGCAGGAGGCTCGTTCTGGTTGCAGCCAGGTGGCAGCCTCGCGTTGGCCAGCATGGGTGGGCTTTCGTGTGCTGTAATTGCCGGCCAGGCGATGATCGATGCATCTGTGATTTCACCAGGCTCGCTTGGTTCTTCACAACCGTCGATTGTCTTGGCCCAGGGGGATCGCGATTCCATGGCTGATATTCCCTCTAGAAGCCAACTCACTATGGCGACAATCCGAAGCCCAGTTGCTGCTGGTACCATGGAGGCCCCTCCCCTCGTTTATGCTAGCCAATCACTCGCTGCCAGCTGCATGACCGCCCCTCCAACCTCTGATCTCCAGCACGATGCGTTCTTGAATCTTCGAGAGTCTGCGTCTACGAATCCCCTGCTGGCTCCGTTACCCGTTTCGCACAACTCGCAGTGCCTGACGTTCACGATGTCAGACCTCGAGGCGTTTGATTCGACACAGGAGACCCTGATTGTGGACATTTGAAAGTGGTATGCATAAGCGGAAACTGAAGAAGCGGATGCATAACGGCCTCGTAAGTGGCTTGGTGAATTGTTGCTTGAGGTTTCTGTACAGGTAGGTTCCTAGGGGCGTGAGGTGCAAGAGGTAGCACTGTAGAGGATCAGCATTGCCTTGTACATATTCCAGTGATTGAATATGCTAAATTTGTTCGTATTCAGTTCAGGAATGTCAAAATCGATAACCAGGAGGTGAAGGTATGTTAAAGCTCTGGTATACATTTGAAAGGAGGGTTCAAAACCCTTAGGAACTTTAAAAGTTGCCCCAAAACTGTGAGGCACACTGTAGCACCCTGAACCCCACTGACAAATGTACACTGGAACTTTAAAGCAAGCGTATACATTTGAAAGTACTGTTGCTTTGGAACAGTACCCTCCCTCAGAGACAACCCCAACGAAAACGATGTGGGGTTCGCGAACAGACTGGGCGAAAATTTGGAAGGGAGATGCGACCACGAGAACCCCTCCCGTCACCCAACTCCAGAAGTTGAGCTCATAGACTGAGTATAAGCGACTAATTCCTACCATAGACACTAACGTGCGTAATTTTAGAGACGAGGATTCAGCAAACACAATACAGCTTCGAGGATAGACTACTTTACAGTCTTCGTAAGCGAAGTCTCAACCGCCAGCGCATCCCATGCGGTGCCCGCCGGGAGCATTCTAGATCCGCAGCGCTCGACACCCTCTCAGCGCGTCACCCGCATCGCGCCAAATACCCCGCTGCGGCCCTCATCTCTTAGCGCGACACCGCGCGCCGTGCAACCGCATCGCGCCAAATACTGAGCTGCGCCCCTCATCGCATTGCGCCGCACCTCTTAGCGACGCACCTCTTAGCGCCGCACCACTTAGCGCCGCACCGCTTAGCGCCTCTCTGCGTAGCGCCTCACCCACTGCGATGCCTCTCAAGCTAGGTCGGCAGCGATTGCTTCCCGTGTAACCCACAGCTCGCCTCGCCGCTTAGCACGTCACCGGCTTCACGCTCGCCCTCTGCGCGCCTCACCTGCTGCTCGCATCCCAGTGCGAATTTCGAATGCACCACAGATGCTGCGCCCCGCAAAACAAACTACGTCACGCGCTGCTCGCCGCCCTTTCGTCTCTCCTTTGCCGCCAACGCGCTCAGCCATTCGTCGAGCAGGGTAAGTCGCCACCGTTGAATGGGCGCGCCGCCATGTTTGCAAGTAGCCCGTCGTCCAACCTCCATCCCCGTTCCCCTCATCTCCCCTCCCTCTTCCCTCATTTCCCCCCCTCGCAATTCCCCCACTTCCTCCTCATTTCCCCATCTCTCCCTCTCATTTTCCCCCCTTCCTCCTCTCTTTTTCCCCCGCCTCCCTCGTTATTTCCCTCACTGCTCCTCCACACTGCCCCCCACGACTCCCACTCATTTCCCCTCTTTATCCATCTCATATTGCCCAAACACCACTCCCCCCCCCCCTCCTCCCCGTCTCCCCGTCTCCCCCTCATTGGCCCCCTTTCTTCCTCACATCTTCTCCCATGTTCCATTTTCCCCACTGGTCCCCCTCCCTTCTCCCTCTTCTCCCTCTCCTTTCATTCCCTTCTGCCCCAACTTCCCCCCTTTTTCCCTCTCATTTCCCCTACTGCCCCCCCCCATTGCGCCGCTTCTCCCCCACTTTCCCCCCCCAGTTCCGCTTAGCATGTCACCGGCTTCGCGCGTCACCAGCTGAACGCGTGTCCAGCTGCTCGCATGCCCCTAAACTCATCTCACGCGCTGTGGACCGCGATCCTCGCACGCCGTCTCGCCATTTCCCCACTTCTCCCTATCACTTCCCCCAGTGCTCACCGGGGTGCACAAGGTGAGTCTCGCCATTTCCCCACTTTCTCCACCTGCTTCTTCTCCTATCCGCCCCCGCTTGCCCTCCTTTCGCCCCCTGCTTCCCCCCTTTTCCTCCATGGCTTCCCCTTCTTTCACCTCTTGCTTCCGCCCTTTCCCCCCCTACATCCCCTCCTTGGATTCCCTTGCTTGTCCTCCTCTCCCCCCCTGCTTCACCTCCTTTTCGCCCCCACTTCACCTCCTTTCCCCCTCTGCTTCCCCCCTTTTCCCCCACGGCTTTCCTTCCTTCCCCCCCTGCCTCCCCCACGTTTCTCCCTGCAGGCCCCACGTTTCTCCCCTGCAGGCCCCACGTTTCTCCCCTGCAGGCCCCACGTTTCTCCCCTGCAGGCCCCACGTTTCTCCCCTGCAGGCCCCACGTTTCTCCCCTGCAGGCCCCACGTTTCTCCCCTGCAGGCCCCACGTTTCTCCCCTACAGGCCCCCTGTTTCCCCCATGCCAGACCCATTTCTCCCCCCTGATAGCTCCAAGATCCCTCCGTGAGAGCCCCATGGTTCCTTCATGCTATCCTCATGTTTCCAAGGCTGGGTGGTGAGTGCATCGCTGCTCACGGCAGCATGTGGAGTGCTCACCAGCAAATGAACCTCCCAGTCCGCACACTCTCACTCACCAACGCTTGTCACATCCTCTTTTCCCTCCCTCCAGAAGCAACCTTCCTGAATGCTCGCTACACTCCTCTCACTTCCATGCCTGCATGCTCGCCCCGTTTTCCCCCCGTGCTAACATCAGGTTTCTCCCCAAGCTATCCCCATGTCTCCCCCATGCAGGCCCCATGTTTCCCCCATGCAGGCCCCATGTTTCCCCCATGCACGCCCCATGTTTCCCCCATGCACGCCCCATGTTTCCCCCATGCACGCCCCATGTTTCCCCCATGCACGCCCCATGTCCCCCCCCCCCCGCAGGAGGCGATGTGTCCCCTCTGCACGCCCCATGTTTCCCCCATGCACGCCCCATGTTCCCCCCCCCCACCCCGCAGTCCCCATGTTTCCCCCCTGCACGCCCCATGTTTCCCCCCTGCACTCCCCATGTTTCCCCAGAGCGCACACGCCCATATTTCCCCGTTGATAGCCCCATATTCCCCCCCTGCTAGCCCAATGTTTTCGCTTTTACCACTCGCCCCCCTGCTCCCTCGATATTTCCCCCACTGCTCCTCCACACATCCCCCTACTACCCCCTTTCATTTCCCCATTTAGGCATCTCATCCCCACCCTGTCTCCCCCCCATTGGCCCCCCTTCTTCCCCTCATCTCCTCCCTTGCTCTATTTCCCCCACTGCTCCCCCTCACTTCACCCTCTTCTCCCTCTCATTTCCCTTACTGCTCCCCCTCATTTCCACCGGCTCCCCCCCACTTCTCCCCCCCAGTTCTGCCGGCTTCTCGCGTCACCAACTGAACGCATCTCCAGCTGCTCGCATGTCCCTAAACACATCACACGCGCTAGGAACTGCGTAGTTCCCCGTAAGTAATACTGGGTTTAGGTTGCGGGAATTTCGGATTGGTCGTCCTGACTGCCCTTGGCTCAAATGTCCCCGAGCGCCCTCGCTTGTCCCTGGGTCCCCTCGTTTCCACGCTCCAAACCCTAATTACCCCCACTGCTCCCCCGCGTTCCCCCATCTCCTTCCCCTTATTTACCCCTCTGCCCCTCCTTGTTCCCCCCTCTCCATCCCCTTATTTCCCCCTCTGCTTCCACTCGTTCCCGACCCTCCTTCCCCTTATTTCTCCCTCTGCTTCCCTCTTCTCTTCCCCCTCCACCTTCCCCTTATTTCCCCCTCTGGTTCCCCTCGTTCCCCCCACTCCTCCCCCTTTTGTCCCTCTCTACTTCCCCTCGTTCTCCCCTCTCCTTCACCTTATTTCCCCCTCTGATTCCCCTCCATCCCCCATATGCTTCTACGCATATCCGCCCTCTTCCGCCCCCCTTTTTACTATCTCCCCTCCCTTCCACCACCTCACCGCAGCCTAGGACACCTACACCCATAGAAGGTGTGATTTTTACACGAGGTGAGTCAACCTTATCACTCCCTTCCTCGCTCACAACATCCTCTCTGACATCAGTCTGCCCTTCTCTAATCACCCCCACTCTCCCACCCCCGTCTGTGTCCCTGCCTGCCCATCAGATCGACTCTCACTTTCTTCCCCGCCTCTGACCACCTCTCAACTGCCCCTCCCCACTAAAGGCCCCTCCGCCTCTGCACATCCCCCCACCCTCCCAGCCTCCTTCTACCAGGCCTCGTCCTCTCACACCTCCATTCACACCTCCTTCCGACGCCCTTCCTTCGTTTCCTCATCCCTCTGCGGCACTCATCCCCAACCCCATTGCCACCCCGCTGCAATTGCTGCATGTCCCTCTCTCACTGCACGCAACGTGAACCTCTTGCACTCCGCACACACTTCCACCCCTACAGACCCTCACACACTGACACCCACCACACACTCCGGCACACACCCGCTGTGCACACGCACACACGCCCTGGCCATGACCAAACATCAAACAGCAGACCTTGGAGCGGCAGCAGGCTAAGGAGGGGCCGCACAATCAATCACATATCGGTGCACCATTTGTGTAAGCAAGCACTGCACTGCCAGCCAGGGAGCGTTCGTGGTTCACTGCTGGAGACAACAAGTGCAATGAAAGATAAGTGCCAGACCTGACTACACAGTTAGGGCCAATTTCTTGAACTTATTATCATTTGGCCAACAAAGGAGGGAAGCGAGGAATTCATATGACCATTACGGCAATTTGTCATCGATAAACCATACTCTCTGGTCCACCTGGCACCCCCAAAAGCTTGTGGCGTCCAGGAAAGGCGACCTGCTGCGTGTATCCTGACCTCGCTCGCCTATCCTCCCCATCGCCTGCCAGCACCGTCATATTTGCCGCGTCGCCTACAAGTAGAGTAGAAGTTGGCTGCACACTTGACCAATCAAGAGTCACAAAGTTGGCTGTATGCATGGATTTGTCTGTGCTGTTACTTGTGACCAAACTGTTTTGATTACATACTGTGTTATGGTGCAGTACATGCTACAAAACTGGTGATGTTTGCAACCTGTAATGATGTCACAAAACACCGCGGTCAATAACCTGTTGGTACAAAACACTGAAACAAGCGTTTGATGGCACTATTTATTGGGTCAGTAAGAAATACAGTACCCAAAAGGGGACGAGAGAGGGTGTGTTTACAGTGTATGTTACTGTTCAATGCGGCATATTGGATGGTTGGATCAACCAATGACAGGACGAGTGACCTAGCTGCTTCGCTTGTGGCCATTGCCACGCTCCCCTGCCATTCACATTGCAATCTCTGCCTATTCATGCCCAGGTTGCTGTCACTTACGGTATGTTGCTCCCCACCTGCAACACAAGCACAGAAACTGATCAAGGGATGTAATGTGAGGGCTGTTGGTGACGAGAATGAAACTACCGGTAGTGTGGGAGAGGGAAGAGAGGGAAACGAGGGAAGGGAGGGAAGAGAGGGAAACGAGGGAAGGGAGGGAAGAGAGGGAAACGAGGGAAGGGAGGGAAGAGAGGGAAACGAGGGAAGGGAGGGAAGAGAGGGAAACGAGGGAAGGGAGGGAAGAGAGGGAAACGAGGGAAGGGAGGGAAGAGAGGGAAACGAGGGAAGGGAGGGAAGAGAGGGAAACGAGGGAAGGGAGGGAAGAGAGGGAAACGAGGGAAGGGAGGGAAGAGAGGGAAACGAGGGAAGGGAGGGAAGAGAGGGAAACGAGGGAAGGGAGGGAAGAGAGGGAAACGAGGGAAGGGAGGGAAGAGAGGGAAACGAGGGAAGGGAGGGAAGAGAGGGAAACGAGGGAAGGGAGGGAAGAGAGGGAAACGAGGGAAGGGAGGGAAGAGAGGGAAACGAGGGAAGGGAGGGAAGAGAGGGAAACGAGGGAAGGGAGGGAAGAGAGGGAAACGAGGGAAGGGAGGGAAGAGAGGGAAACGAGGGAAGGGAGGGAAACGAGGGAAGAGAGGGAAACGAGGGAAGGGAGGGAAGAGAGGGAAACGAGGGAAGGGAGGGAAGAAAGGGAGACGAGGGAAGGGAGGGAAGAGAGGGAAACGAGGGAAGGGAGGGAAGAGAGGGAAACGAGGGAAGGGAGGGAAGAGAGGGAAACGAGGGAAGGGAGGGAAGAGAGGGAAACGAGGGAAGGGAGGGAAGAGAGGGAAACGAGGGAAGGGAGGGAAGAGAGGGAAACGAGGGAAGGGAGGGAAGAGAGGGAAACGAGGGAAGGGAGGGAAGAGAGGGAAACGAGGGAAGGGAGGGAAGAGAGGGAAACGAGGGAAGGGAGGGAAGAGAGGGAAACGAGGGAAGGGAGGGAAGAGAGGGAGACGAGGGAAGGAGAAGGGGAGAAGGGAATTTGCGCTGCGTATTTGCGGCAAGGCGCCAAAAAGGGACGGGTGATTGAGTGCAGGGTTTGGAAGCGGAAGGGCTGGTGGGGAAGGGGAGCCGAGGGAAGGGAAGGCATGTGAAGGGCAAGGGAGAGGAGATGGGAAGGCAGGGGAGGGATGATGGGCGTGCAGAGGGGGAAATGGCGTCGCGGAAAGGGGGGATGGCGAGGCGGGAAGGGGATATGGCGTGGCGGGAAGGGGAGATGTCGTGGCGGGAAGGGGATATGGCGTGGCGGGATGGGGATATGGCGTGGCGGGAAGGGGATATGGCGTGGCGGGAAGGGGATATGGCGTGGCGGGAAGGGGATATGGCGTGGCTGGAAGGGGATATGGCGTGGCGGGAAGGGGATATGGCGTGGCGGGAAGGGGATATGGCGTGGCGGGAAGGGGATATGGCGTGGCGGGAAGGGGATATGGCGTGGCGGGATGGGGATATGGCGTGGCGGGAAGGGGATATGGCGTGGCGGGAAGGGGATATGGCGTGGCTGGAAGGGGATATGGCGTGGCGGGAAGGGGATATGGCGTGGCGGGAAGGGGATATGGCGTGGCGGGAAGGGGACATGGCGTGGCGGGAAGGGGACATGGCGTGGCGGGAAGGGGATATGGCGTGGCGGGAAGGGGATATGGCGTGGCGGGAAGGGGATATGGCGTGGCGGGAAGGGGATATGGCGTGGCGGGAAGGGGATATGGCGTGGCGGGAAGGGGATATGGCGTGGCGGGAAGGGGATATGGCGTGGCGGTGGTCGCGGCGGGCCCGCGAGAGGAGGCGTGGGGCCCGTCCGATGAACCGAGCCAGTATGGAGGCATTTTCGCAGCCACGAATGGGTATAAATTAGAAACGAACGAGGCAGTGTGGGTCGGTGAGGGGAGACTACTTCGGACGTCGAATGGCAGAGGGCGAGGGCGGAGTCGTCCGAACGACTCCGGATGTCGTCCGGCGGAGGGCGAACGGCGGACTGCGAACGCGAAAGGGAGGGTACGCGAGCGGCGAGCGGGAAGCAGCGGCTCCCCGCGCGGGACGAACGGGGGACGGCGAGCTGGAGTGGGAGGACGGGATGGGATGGCAGATGCTGGCGCGTCGAGGCTAAACGAGACTATGTGGGGAGGGGAGGCGCTGTCGCTAATGGCCTCGCGGTGAGGCAGCGAGAGGAGGCGTGGGGCGGTCTTGTCTAAGGTGGCGAGGCGCTAAGCGAGTGCGTAGGCGTGGCGATTTGTCCGCGCGTGCGCGCAAACAGCGTTACGCAGTTCAAAAACAGATTCTAACCCTAAATCTAGCTGTTCGGTTCATATGTTGCCTAGTCTACGCAAAATAACCTACCGCCGTGTGAGAGCGTGTGCTATCGACTAAACTGAAGTTTTAGTATCCTTTTGTGATTCCTAAGGTTTTGAACTGTGAGTGCGGGGAGCTGGACGTGGGGCGTTTGGGGGCTCACTTCGCCTGTCAATCGGGGGGTTGGGGCTGTAATCATGTAACCAGTTTTTCAAGTTCCTAAGGTTTTTGGAAACCCAACTTTCAAAAGTATACTGTTGCTTTAAGGTGAGACAACAATCATCCAAATGGTAGCACAAAAAAGGGGGACAAGACAATTACATTTGGATGTACCAGCACAAAAAACCATGAAGCATGCACCATATGATTTAATTTTGAATTTTCTTAGGGCTGGTCAGTGATGGTCATGTTATCCCTCATCGCATTCGCCATGAGGGGAGAAGCAGTAAGTGTAAGGATGCGTGCGATGTTTTTTCAAACTTCCCAAAGTTCAGACTTTTAGAAAGGTTCTACACGATAGGATACAATTGAGAGAATTTTCGCCACGTTGCAAAGCGGTTTGAGATCGAACTTAGACAAATTTCCAAAGTCCACCTGCTAACTCGCTGACAGCTGAAGAGATCTCAAAAAAGCCCCGCTAGACATTTGCACGTCATGTATTCAGCCACCCCCTCTCCAGAAGCTCAGCTGCCAGTCTCTTGCTCTGTGGGTCTTCCCCAGGCAGCATTTCCTGCGCACAATGCAAATGCACACATTTATAACTGCAAGTGAAAGAAGAATCAGCTCTTCAAGGTTTCTATAAAGGTCTGTACTTACCATTATAATAGGGGAGCTTGCTTTTCGATCCATCTTCTTGAGAATATAATCTGCACAGGCTTGCCGCACTGAAGGGGCATCGTGCATGTCAGCTACTTTGAATGCCTCGAACACAATGTCATTATCTAGGGATCCGCACAGACACAAGCACAAGTGCTCCTTGAGCTCTAAAACTTGATATTTATCCGCTGCCACTAGCAATTTAATTTTCTGCACAGCATAGGGATGGAAATAGAAATCAGAACAGAGGCAACTACATGGAACAGAGCACTACTTTCGATTCCATTGACAGTTAAAACCTAATCCAGCTCGATGTCCGTGAACTCACCGGCATGGTTGCACTTTTCATAGGTAAATCGCCAGAATACATGAAGGAAATTAGCTTCTCTAACGTAGGGCCGCCTGTATCCTGTATGTGAACAGAGCTCTTCGTCTCTTCTTGCAAGCCACTGCTGAACATTTTCGCAAAAACTGGTGACCTACACGGGCACCAAACGCATACATCCCAAAAATTGGGTTCGCAAACCCTACCTCCAGGTTTCCCCCAGGTTACTCCGCTGTGGGTAACCCAGGGGGCTCCATCCAGGAGTCCTCGTGGTAACCTTGGCGCAAAATCACAACCGTTGTGGCAGCCCGCTGAGAGAACGTACAGCTCATAAAGAGGAGGGTACCAGGAGGCGAGCAAGTAACGTTATCCCTCAGGACAAGAGAAATCAGTAACATACCATGTTGCTAGAATGCATCGATGAGCTTTAATAGCTTCTCCTTCGCGTGGTCGCAGTGTTACGTCGCAAAATGCCGCATCTCGCATTTCCTCGACTTTCGGAGCGAAGTATTTGAGCTTGACTAGTTTCGCTTCGGCTTCTTTCACTCGGAGCTCAGATTGCGCGACTTTGTCAGGCAAGTCCTTCCGCGCTGCTTGACAGGAATTGCAAACATTGTTGATGCAGTCTCTATGCTGGTAGCAAAATTTGCATGTGGCATATGGCATGATAGCAGACTTTGGGGAAATGACAGTAGTGTGCACTAGAGCAGCAAGTAAATAACTAGTAGTATGATATGATCCACACGCTTGCGAAGTGCAACTGTGTTGGACTTCCAAAAATTGGGAATCAGGCATGTCGTCTGGTTTCCCAGCAACCGGGTAGCCAATTCGCGAAACATTTCGACTGTGTGTTTTTGTGCAACAAGCCACCTCATGCAGCTGCGCGCATATTTCCCCGCGTCGTCGCACTAGGAGGACGGCATCGCTGCACGAGAAGCGAAACGACAAATGAGGGCGACTTGCGATTGATTGCGATGGTGCTGGTGTTTGTGTGGCGAGCATTCAATGTGGTGTTTGCGACCCAGCTTTGCTCGTTATTGTCGCAAGGCGATTCCATGTCGTAACTCCAAAAGATGCTGATGTGTGATTTCGGCCTTTTATACATGTTACGTGGAACACTCGACCACTAGAAATTGCAGACTTTTTCACTGGTGTATTGACACTGGTTCGGGATTTTCATACAAAATTTATCCTTCACCATTGCTTTTCTCAAATATGCCATGAGCATCGGTACCGTATGAGAGTAAACATGACCCCACCGCATTTGCAAGATTATTCAGCCCAAACAAGTTGTGTATGTTTCTGCAGGCCAATCCATCCTCGTGAATAACATGGATAGAACCAAAGTTTCCAATTCAAAGGACTACTTCCCACTCCCAGTTTGGAAGAGCTCCCTACCTGCACATGCCCACGCACTGTGTAAATCCATGAATTGCCATCGCGTAAGCACATACTCCGACTCACCTCTACAAATAGACACCGAACAAGGTGGCACACTAACCATACCATACCACACTGAAGCTACCTCACTGAGGCCAACTGTAGTACGGATACTCTTGAACATCTATTTGAAACTGCCTTCATGTGATGTTCTGATACTCGGAAATCTCTCAGGACACCTCTCCGAAACAACCTAGCCCTCTTTTGAGAATTCTCCAATTTCTCAAAAGAGAATCATCAAAAGTGTCTCCCTTGGGGATCTCTCAGGACAACTCACCAAAACAACCTAGCCGTCTCCCCACCTCATTCCCATACTCTCCCCTCCCTTCACTTCATCCTGGTCCCACCACTTTCCCTGTCCTCTCGTACTCCCCTCTCCCTCCACTTCCTCCCTGTCCCTTCTGAGAGTTCTTAGAAGCTACCTAGCCCATCATCTCCCCTAAACGACACCTAAAGATTAGACATTTGAAATGCCTCACAAACCTCCTAGCCCACTCCTTGCCCTGTCCTCCAACACCCCCCTCTCATGCCAACCCTTCCCCCCCTCCTCTCCTCCCCCTTCTCACCTGAACCGGTTTCTGCAGCACAAAAGACCGATAAACTTTTGAGACGTCCCAAAGCCCCCCCCCCTCTCATGTCATGCCAACCCTTTCCCCCCACCTCCCCTCCCCCTTCTCACCTGAACTGATTTCTGCAGCACAGAAGACCGATGCATCATGAACCAACCACCAAGATTCTGTCTCCATTAGCTGCACAGATGAATTCTGCTCCTGGTTCATGAGTCACTGACCGAACCACCGCCACCACCAAGCTCCTCTCTCGCCACCTCCTGCATCTTCCTCGCATCACGATGATCTCGGATGCTGGATGGACTCTCTTCCCCCAGAGTCATCTTCTGAACCACCGCCACCACCAAGCTCCTCTCTCGCCATCCGCATGCTCTTCCTCTCACCAATGGCCATGGATTCTTGATAAACACTGAAGTTTCGATGGGCTCAAAAGAGCTTCTTCCCCCACATTTATCTTCCGAACCACCGCCACCACGCCTTCCTCTCCCTCGTCTGCTGCAACCTCGCAAGTAAGCGTTGACGTTCCGCCTTTTCTTCAGCAGCTTGAATTTCTTCCTCCCTACCTGCCCCTTCCTCCCTGGCCGCCCCTTGCTCCCTGGCTGCCTCTCCCTCCCTTCTTCCCCCTTCCTCCCTGTACCACTCTCTTGCGAATTTCTCCATGCTCGTCTCCGCCTCTTCAACCACCTCTTCGTTCCACACTTCACTCCCATATTCTCTTCTCCCTTCTCTTCTCTCCTCTCTCCTCTCTTCCTCTCTTCCACGCCCTTCAGTCACATTTAATTCTTCCTTCACCTCCTCTTCTTTCCTCTCCTCCTTCCTCTCCATCTTCCCATTCCTCTCTTCTCTTTTTCCGTCCTCCTCCACCCCTCTTGCCTGCTTCCTTCTTCTATGCCTGCCCCTTCAATCCTCCTTCCTTCCTCAACATCACCCTCAGAACGATGAGTAGTTGAACCCTCTCCTCTCCCCTCCTCTCTTCTTCCTCCTTCCTCCCTTCCCACCACTTCTCTCTCCATTCCCTCCTTCCCTCCCCTCTCCTCACTCCTCCCCACTTCCTCCCTTCCCCCGACTTCTCTCCTCCCCGTCTCTTGCCCTCCCCCCTCCTCTTTCCTCCTCCCATTCCCCCCCCACCCCTCCTCTCTCCGAACTGGCTTCTCCAGCAGGCAATTCAGGTAAACATGAGGCCCCTTGCGTTCCGCAGGGTCTGGCTTAGGCAGCACACGCCAGTGCAGGCGGTTGTAGCTGAGGAGATTGAGAATGGCGACATACACTGGGAACTCGTCAAGGGGAGCGTAGAACATCTCCAGCCAAATGACACCACCTGGGAGCAACGGGATTGAGAGGAGGGGGAGCAGGCAGTTGTAGCTGAATGAGGGGAATGAGAGGAATGAGGGGAATGAGAGGAATGAGGGGAATGAGAGGAATGAGGAGATTCAGGATGGCGGAATACACTGTGAACTCGTCTAATGGCGTATAGAACATTTCCAGCCAAATGACACCACCTGGGAGCATGGGCAAGTACTTGACGCTGTTGATGCTGTTAGGCACATGGTTACCACATGGTTACCATAGGGCTACCAGCACAAGGACTTACCAACTCTGAGCACACGGTCCCACTCAAAGAGCATCTCTTCAAACTCGAGCATGGGCAGGTACTTGACGCTGTTGACACTGTGAATTAAGTCCAATGAACCGTCAAAGAAGGGCAGACGGGCCTGACATGAGGACAGGGGGAGAGGGAGGCAATGGAAAGAAGGTGACAGAGGAAGGGGGGGAGGAAGGGAAGGACGGTGCTTGACGCTGTTGATGCTATGAATGATGTCCAACGAGCCGTCAAAGAAGGGTAGATGGGCCTGTTGGGAGGAGGGAAGGAGTTTTAGGATTTTGGATGGTCCAACGAGCCCACAGCCCACAGCCTACAGCCCACAGGCCACAACCCACTCACCTTGTTTTTGAGTCGACTCAAAAGCGAGCCCACAGCCTACAGCCCACAGCCTACAGCCCACAGGCCACAACCCACTCTCCTTGTGCAGCAGTTGCAGGGGAATTGATTTCCTTAAAGCAATGGCCTCCATGTATGGCAGCCCCTGCTTGCGCCCCACCACTGTCTCCACATTCATGGCCGTGGTGAGGATTGTCACAAGGCGAGGCTTAGAGCTCACAGCCTACAGCTTCCAGCCCACAGCCAAGTTTAACTTGTGTGGCAAGTGCAGGGGGATCAGTCGTCTTAGAGCAATGGCCTCCATGTATGGCAGCCCCTGCTTGCGCCCCACCACAGTCTCCACATTCATGGCCGTGGTGAGGATGGTCACAAGGCGAGGCTTATAGCTCACAGCCTACAGCTTCCAGCCCACAGCCAAGCTTAACTTGTGTGGCAAGTGCAGGGGGATCAGTCCTCTTAGAGCAATAGCCTCCATGTAGGGTAATCCCTGCTTGCGCCCCACCACAGTCTCCACATTCATGGTTGTGGTGAGGATTGTCACGTTGTACAGCGCCATGCTTGTTGAGACAAGAGGGAAGCACACACGCAGCACACACGCGGCACGCAGCACACTCCTTGTGTGGCAGATGGAGAGGGATCAGCCCTCTCAACGCTATAGCCTCCATGTAGGGTAATCCCTGCTTGCGCCCCACCACTGTCTCCACATTCATGGCCGTGGTGAGGATAGTCACATTGTACAGCGCCATGTGTGTAGGGTACAGAGGGCAGCACATGGCACACAGCACACGTCATACAGCATACAGCATACCACCCACCTTGTGTGGCAGGTGCAGGGGAATGAGCCCCCTCAACGCAATGGCCTCCATGTAGGGCAGCCCCTGCTTGCGCCCCACCACGGTCTCCACATTCATGGCCGTGATGAGGATGGTCACGTTGTACAGCGCCATGTGTGTAGGGTACAGACGGAAGCACACTGCACACACCACTCAGAGCTCACAGAACACATACCTTGTGTGGCAAGTGCAGGGGAATGAGTCCTCTCAACGCTATGGCCTCCATGTAGGGCAATCCCTGCTTGCGCCCCACCACAGTCTCCACATTCATGGCCGTGGTGAGGATTGTCACGTTGTAGAGCGCCATGTGCGCTGCAAAGCTGCCTGTGCCGCCTCCAATGTCCAGACCAATCCTGCGGACGCGGAGTAAGGGAGAGTGAGACTGGATGAAGTGAAACGGGACCACGTGGGGAGGATGGTCACATTGTAGAGCGCCATGTGCGCTGCAAAGCTGCCTGTGCTGCAAAGCTGCCTGTGCTGCAAAGCTGCCTGTGCTGCAAAGCTGCCTGTGCTGCCACCGATGTCCAAGCCAAGCCTAGGGACAAAGGGAAGTCGCAGGGTGGTAGGTGGAATGGGGGAAAAGGGGGGAGGAAGTGCCATGCCATGTGTGCTGCAAAACTGCCTGCACCTCTTCCAATGTCCAAGCCAAGCCTAGAGAACATGGGATAGCCGACGGTGGGATGGGAAGAAGAGGTACCATGCCATGTGCAAGGTCGTGGTGAGGATGGTCACATTACACAGTGCCATGTGCACTGCAAAGAAAAATTGAGAATTCTCAAAAGTGGTTTCAATATGGCCGAGGGTGGGACGGGAAGAAGAGGTACCATGTGGCGACGATGGTCAAACTGCACAGTGCCATGCCATGTGCATGCCTGTGCCATGCCATGTGTGATGCAAAGCTGCCTGTGCCATGCCATGTGCCATGCAAAGCTGCCTGTACTCTGTGTCCAGACTATCTTCATCGAGAATGTAATGTTGTGGTCTGTAGTCACATCTCACCTGATGCTTCCCTTCTTCATTTTAAGCACATCCTCTATAGTCAGCGAGCCCCGGTACTGCACGCGCCAGCGGTTTCTCTCAAGCGTGAGGTTGAAGCAGAGGCGGCAGTCCCCCATACAGCACTTCTCACCTGATGCTTCCCTTTTTTATCTTGAGCACGTCTTCAAGTCAAAGAGCCCGGAACCGCACGCGCCACCAATTTCTCTCAAGAGTGAGGTTGAAGCAGAGGCGGCAGTCGCCCACAACGCTTCCTATCTTCCTCCCTATTGTATCATGTCTCACCTGATGCTTCCCTTCTTCATTTTAAGCACATCCTCTATAGTCAGCGAGCCCCGGTACCGCACGCGCCAGCGATTCCTCTCAAGCGTGAGGTTGAAGCAGAGGCGGCAGTCCCCCACCACGCGGGCGTTGAGGCAGGCGAAGGAGGAGCAGGCGTGGTGGTCCCATATGAGAGCTCCGTCTATGAGAGCGCTCAGATTGAACAAGGCCTGGGGGAACGGCAGGGGCTGGTGGAGGGAAATGGATGGAAGGAGGGAAGCGGAAGGAGTAGCAGGAGGGAGGGTAGCAGGAGAGAGGGGGGGAGAATGACGGAAAGGATGAGGGAGTAGAGAAGGGAAGAGTGAGGCTAAAGCAGAGGCGGCAGTCCCCCACGACGCGGGTGTTGAGGCAGGCGAAGGAGGAGCAGGCGTGGTGGTCCCACACTAGAGCTGTGTCTATCAGCGCGCTCAGATTGAAGAGCGCCTGGGGGAATGGTAGAGGCTGGTGTAGGGAAACGGATGGAAGGAGGGAATAGGAGTAGCAGGAGGGAGAGAAGCAGGAGAGAGGGGAGGAGTGAAGAGTGAGGTTGAAGCAGAAAGGCAGGAAGCGAGGAGGGACGGGTTGGGTTGAAGTGAAGCAGAGGCGGCAGTCCCCCACCACGCGGGCGTTGAGGCAGGCGAAGGAGGAGCAGGCGTGGTGGTCCCACACCAGGATAGAAGAGGCAGCTGTGCCTATCAGATTGAAGAGCGCACTCAGATTGAAGAGCGCCTGGGGGAATGGTAGAGGCTGGTGGCAGGAAGGGTGGAGAATGGAGGAGGGAAGGAGGGGAGAGGAGGAGAGAGGGGTGCTTGGTGGGAGAGGGAAGGGGGATAGGCAGACAGGGGGATGGGGCGACGGAGGAGCAGGCGTGGTGGTCCCACACTAGAGCCGCATCGACCAGCGCACTCAGATTGAAAAGCGCCTGGGGAATGGTAGAGGCTGGGGCAGGGGGAAGAGGAGGAGGGACGCGGAAGGAGGAGGGGGCTGGATGCATGGCGTGTATGTGTGCTCATGTGGTGTGCCTCTAGTGGGATTACGTGTGCGTGCGTTTGCATGCCTGGAATGTTAATCATGCCCCAGGGGTTCAGGGTTTGGGGTTCAGGGTATGTGTGCGTGTATGGCCCACTGACATGATGGTTTGGTCGACTCACAAGTCATAAGCGCTCACATTGATTGTTTGGTTAGGGTTTAGGGTGACATGATGGTTTGGTGGACTGACAAGGCATAAGCGCTCACATTGATTGTTTGGTTGGTGGTGCGGGCGCGGCAGCGTCGTTGCGGCAGGGAGAAGCAGCGGTGGTGGAAGATGAGCGACTGGGTGGCAAACCAGTCGTCAGGGCACGCCCCACTGGCGTCATATGCGCTGTATTGCCTGAGAGCCTCCTCTGATGCATCACATGTGTAGCCCTGGGGGGTGGAAGAGGGGGGAGAACAGGGGATTGGAAAGCAGGTGATATGGGAAGGAGGGGCGGAATCAGCTAGCAGCGGTGGTGGAGGATGAGGGACTGTGTGGGGAACCAGTCATCAGGGCACGCCCCACTGGCGTCATATGCGCTGTATTGCCTGAGAGCCTCATCCGGTGCATCACACGTGTAGCCCTGGGGGGAAGCGGAGAGTTAGGGGGGAGCAGAGACAGAGGGCCTGGGTGGGGAACCAGTCGTCAGGGCACGCCCCGCTGGCATCATATGCGCTGTATTGCCTGAGAGCCTCGTCTGGTGCGTCACACGTGTAGCCCTAGGGAATGTGGGGGGGAGGGGGGAAAGACGAAGGGACTGAATAGCAAACCAGTCGTCAGGGCACGCCCCACTGGCATCATATGATGTGTACTGCCTGAGAGCCTCATCTGGTGCAAGGTGACTTTTGAGTCGACTCAAAAGTCACCTCGTTACTATGGCACACGATATTTTTGCATCATATGATGTGTACTGCCTGAGAGCCTCATCTGGTGCGTTACACGTGTAGCCCTGGGAATGTGGGGGGGAGGAGGAGGCGGGGAGGTAAGGGGAAGGCAGGAAGACTGGGTGTATCCCTCCCAGGCTTTGCACTCTGATCGCAGGTGGTTTTTGAGAATTCTCAAAAACGGGAGGTAAGGGGAAGGCAGGAAGACTGGGTGTATTCCTCCCAGGCTTTGCATTCTGATTCGGTTTTTGAGAATTCTCAAAAACGGGAGGTAAGGGGAAGGCAGGAAGACTGGGTGTATTCCTCCCAGGCTTTGAATTCTGATCGCAGGTGTAGTTCTTTCCACACCAGCCAGTGCACCCTGCTCTGCCACAATACCATGTCTGCTGCATCGCCACCACATGCACGAAAGCACCACCACCACCACCACAAGCGCACCCACACTTATGCACACACAAGCTCCCCTCCTCTCTCACCTTCCACACCAGCATGCCCTGCTCTGCCACAATACCATGTCTGTTGCATCGCCACCACATGCATGAAAGCACCACCACCACCACCACAAGCGCACCCACACTTATGCACGCACAAGCTCCCCTCCTCTCTCACCTTCCACACCAGCATGCCCTGCTCTGCCACAATACCATGTCTGTTGCATCGCCACCACATGCACGAAAGCACCACCACCACCACCACAAGCGCACCCACACTCATGCACGCACAAGCTCCCCTCCTCTCTCACCTTCCACACCAGCATGCCCTGCTCTGCCACAATACCATGTCTGTTGCATCGCCACCACATGCACGAAAGCACCACAACCACCACCACAAGCGCACCCACACTCATGCACGCACAAGCTCCCCTCCACTCACCTTCCACACCAGCGTGCCCTGCTGTGCCACAATGCCATGCCCATTGAACAACCACCCCGTGCACAAAAGCACCCACACACCCACAACCACACGCAAACAGCCCAGCCCCACGCCCATGCCCACGCCCACGCCCACACCCCACCACTCACCTTCCACACCAGCGTGCCCTGCTGTGCCACGATGCCATGTCCATTGCACCGCTCCACTGTCATCTGCGCCTCATGCATGGTCTGCGAAGGGGTGAAGGGGGTGGTATAGGAAAGGGAAGGGGCGCGGGAAGCTGTGAGCCAGCCAGCCAGCCACGATGCTGCGTCCGTTGCACCACTCTGCTCACTTTGAAAAAAAAAAGAAAAGAAGAAAAAAAAACCTGGCTGATCACCTCGAGAAAGATGAATCGTGCACTGGGGGGCAATGAGGCCTCACCTGGTTTGATAGAAACGCTTCCTCCCAGTTGATATCAGCTCTGCTCAGCTTCTTATTCAGCACGTATTTCTCTCGGCTCACCCTCTTACTCTCCGCCTGCCATAATGCATCACACAATAAGGAGTACACACAGCAGAAGAAAAAGGCAGAATACGTATCTTGAGACTTGAGAAGCTCAAAGAGGACGTTTTAGGGTAAAAAAAAACAGCAACACTAAAAGGCACTTACAGTCATTGAGATAAAAAATCAGTGACCAATTGCAAGGTTTTCGAATTTAAGGTTTATTGTACCGAGTTCACCTGTGCATCCACTGGAATGTGACTCACCGTTCATCCCCTTTACTGCATGCCTCACCTGTTTCTCTACGGTCTGCCCCATAAGCCTCTCCAGCTCCACTGCCTGCTCAGGTAGCTTCAACACTAGCGGGTAACAGCACGATGCTAAAAACCCTATCATCCCCCGCTCGCAACATGCATTCGCCAGCCCACACCTGATATTCAACCCTCACCTGTTTCTCAGCAATCTGCCCCATAAGCCTCTCCAGATCCGCTGTCTGCACCCGAAGCTTCAGCACCAGCGAGTCACAGCATGGCGCGGATTCCTGCAGAGGCTTCCTCGACCCTTCCAACTCAAGCTCAGAGTTCTTGACAGGAGGGCTCCTCCCTTCGTATTCAGCACCTTGCAGTTGCGACTCTTCTTCACCATTTTCGTCCAAGCTGCCTTGTATAAACACCCCCTTCCTCCCGATGCTCACGCACGGGATGCAGTCAGCAAGCATGGCGCGGGTATACACCTTCGCTGCCAATCTCCTTCTTGCCAGCAAGCCTGGCGCGTGACCGTGGTTCAAAACGAGCTCTGAGTCATCAGAGACGTGGAACCGTTTTCTCTCCCCATCCATCTCTTCTGCAGCCTCATATGAATTCCTGCTCTCCTCCCTCTCATCCTCCCCCTCCTCGTCCCAGTTGTCACTTTCCTCTATTTGGTGCAGACTTGAAGCGACAGGCAGGATTCGGCGGGGCTCAGAACCAGCAGGGTCGGCTTGACTGCCTGATGAGAGGAATCAATTCAGGCAGTTGGGAAGGAAGGATGGCAGAAGGGAACGTAAAATACTGAGATGGAGAGGATTTCTTCAAAAGGCCGTGTTCAGGTGCACAAAGTGCTTCACTCCGACGATGTGCAGGTCGAAGCTTCTGATTCTTTCCCGAAACCATCGCTTCAAAGTGTCAACTCGAACCTGGTGGCTATTGAGCCGACTCGAGCCTCACCTGGTCCTTTTCGAAGCTCCTGATGCGTTCTCTGGAACCATCTCCTGAGATCATCCAGCTCCTGCTGGCATTGCATCTCCCGGCGGCGATGCGATTGGCTGGCGAACTCCCTGAATGAGCATGAAAACAGCCACAGTGAGAATCATGCAAAGACGGCAGAAAACAGGGACGGTAGAATGGAGATGGTAGAATGGGTATTCTAGGAAATTCCGGAACACATTCTTGGAACGCTTTCAGGTAAAAAGATAGGCTTACCTCCATGGCATCCAAGAACTGAAAACCCTTAGCCATGGTCTCGCCTCGGTGGATCTAAGATCACTGGCAGAGGAGGAATCGGTTGAGGACGGTATCAGCCATGACTTTCCGGTTACGGGTTCACTTAACACCATGTGTGCTGCAAACACGACGACGAGCACCAAGAATTTAACGTTCGCCATGCTTCTAAGCCTTAATCTTGGTTGATGGAAAGCCATTTTCTTGCTGGTCAGAAGCTAAAAGGCTGAAAAAGATCGCTGGTCAGAAGACTTGAAGTCGACGATAGGTTTCGGAATCTGGGAATGAACCCGCAAGTCTGAAAGGATAACTATTGCCTCGGTAAGCGAGGACTTCTATCGTCAAAACGTCTGCGACGTCAAATCGCGGAGAGAAAATTATGGCCAGCTTCGTTCTTCAGACCAGCGAAACTAGCCATAAAACTTGCAGTTAGCGCGATCAGGGTGGGACCAAATGTACGATGCCGACTTGTATTCAAGCTGAACTGAACTCTAGCGTCGACGTCTTAGTCAAGCACCACGACCCTGCATTCCTGGATGTGTGCGGTGTGATTAGGTGCAACAAACGAAGGTTATTCTGATGGAAATTATAAATTCCTGGTGAACCGACTACCTCCAAGATTGGAAAAGGAAAGCGGAGATGGTCAATAGACCGAACTAGAACGTACAGAAACGTATTAACTCCGTAATACACCGAACTTTGTGGTTTGATGATCTGTCAGTCGATCGAACGAATGGCTGTTGCGAGTTTGCCAGCAAAACCGACTATTTGTCAGATGATTGGTTTGACAGGGTCAGAGATCAGCGGCTGGGGGAGGCGCTGTGCGAAATTCGTTCAGGACCAGCGCCGACAGGAAGGCCAGTTCGCGAAGGAGGAGCCAATCATTGTCGAAAAAAAAGAAGCTTCGGATGAACCTGTTTTGGGATGTACCTTCCCTGTTCTTGGTTGGTTGGAAAAGGTTGTTGCACACGACATGGATGGGGACAAAGCACACAGCTCTGGACGATGATACATTCTACAGCACATGCAAAAATTCATTGAAGTACCTAAACAGTACATTACAAGAGTTTGGAAAATGAAAACAATTTATCTAAAAATCGTCTAATCTTGTATATGCTGGAATATAAGCAAGATATGAAACACTATAATAATTTGTTGTCAATATATGTTTGTGAAATGTAGTATCTTCTCTGAGATTCTATATCCTTGATCCGAGAGCAAAACATATGCTTCTCACTCTTGTAATCCAGTTTGATGTGCGTGTAAAGAGACTTCTCCGACGGCTGTGGATGTGAGAATAAAGAAGTTCCATGATGGATCTCCACCCTACCACATTGAGATGGCTTCACGGTGACGATACTCTCGCATGGCACACGGATAGGCACGAACCAATCATCCTCCAAATCCATTTCAGCCAGTCACTCAAGCTTGCAAACATTCAAAATTTCATCTTCATTTCCACCACACTCGACCACGTCGAAAGCTGAGCGAGAGCCGAGGTGGACACAGAGAGAGGACATGCGGAGAGCTAAGGGTGTTGGGGTTCCGCAGTTGGTCTCTAGGAGCATCCAGCCGTTTAAAATTTCCCAATCTGTATCCAACGGCAACAATATGTTCACCGCCTCAAAAGCGAAAATCTCGAGGTTTCGCATTCCAGAATCCAGACATTCTCCCCCCACTCGGATTCGTGGGGAGTCGGAATTGTAAGCAGGGGCTTTGCTGATTGAGAGATGGTCAGCCATGGCAGATTCTTCTGAAGGCATCCTCAGGGGTTCCTAGACGTAGGCTGTCGTGCATTGGTTGCTTGCTGGTGAAGTCTCCGGCTAACCCATTTTGTTTCGGCACCACGCAGTAGATTGGAGCCCATCACCTGCATTGTTTTCTTCGACGCAAGCCTCACCTTCTGGTCACTAACTCCTGGTTCTAAAATCTCAGCACCGAATCCTCGAAGTGCGTGTGGGGGATTGGCGCTTTTAGAACCAAGGCATCTCACCCGTGTCAACGACTTGGGTGTGCCTCAGCACAGGATCATATTCGGGCTAGGCTAGCTACCGAGCCGAATTAACTTGACCTGATCGTAAGCGTTTCTCGAGTACACATCGACGTTCTCGGAGAGCGGACTACTGCCATCGTCTGCTGATCCAGTTTTATCGATCACTACCGCCGTCTGGCCGCCCTAATCACCTCACCCCGGGTGAATAGTCTTTATCGTCCTGCGTCTGTTGCGCACACCTTGGTCCTTTATTATCGTTCAGTCCTTTAACCTCACAATTTTCTGAGCTTTTCGGACGAACACCAGTCGTCTTTGATCTTACGAACCAGTTTTTGCCTCTTACTTTCACTGTAGCGTGCTGCATTCCGCGGTTCCGCGGATATCTGATATCGTTTGTTCGCGTTCGCGTTATAAGGAGCAGTACGACAAGGCTTCGGGTCTTCCTCGCAATGTACGTTGTCAAGCGCGACGGCCGGAAGGAGGCCGTGCACTTCGATAAGATCACCGCTCGTTTGAAGAAGCTCAGCTACGGTCTCAGCACGGAATTCTGCGACCCCGTCTTGGTGGCTCAGAAGGTACGAGCCATCCTCTGGATAAGCAGTCGCTTTTAGGATCAGAAGCTACGGGTCATGGCTTGGGTAAGAAGTTGTCTTACGGATCAGAAGTTACGAACCGTCTCTTGGATAAGCAGTCTAAAGCTCCTCAATTTGGTGGATGATCCACTCGCGTCGCTTGCTGCCATCACCCCTTCGTTGTTACCTTTATGTCCTTTCACTGTCATCCTCGGGGCGTTGTAAGCGCAAGACACTTCTAGTCCTGCTTTTGGTGATCCATCTCTTGCATTGTCACCTTCTTATGGTCTGTTATCTTCCCAGATGTGTATGGGCGTGTACAAGTGTGTGACTACAGCCCAGCTCGATGAGCTGGCATCTTCTGGGGCATTTCAAAACCCGTCCCAAATGATTTTCTTTACTGTACACTTGAATCTTCCATCCGTCAGGTGTGCATGGGCGTGTACAAGGGCGTGACTACAGCGCAGCTCGATGAGCTGGCAGCTGAAACCGCAGCGGGAATGACGGCGACACACCCAGACTACGCTCTCGTGAGTCGATCCTCTGTGTTTATTCGTGTGAAGCATAGTTTGTCATGCCAACTCGCCTTTGCTATGGCCCGTGGGAGTCCTTGTGACTTCATGAGTCTCGAATGGTCCTTCATTTATTCAGGCATGGGTGTTAGAGTCCTTGTGAGTCTCTCTCTCCAATGTGCTGCTCCGTTGTGTTGGTCCCATGAAATTCATATTTCGTTCACAACCAACACCCTCTGCTTCTACTCTGCGCAAAGCATTTTCTTCTCATCCCATTCCCCTCTTCTCCCACTCCGCTACATGTGTCTACCTCTATCTCCCTTCCCTTTTACGTCCTGACAACTTAAACCCTGAACCCGCAGCTGGCTGCGCGGATTGCAGTCTCCAACCTGCACAAGAAGACAAAGAAGTCATTTTCCGAAACGTGCGTTCTGATTGGCAATCCCAACCGTAGTATCATGGCATTGATCTGCGCCCTATGGTTATTCTATGCCATGCCATGTGATGACTGTGCAGTGTGAAGAGGATGTATACGCATGTGAACTGGGATTCAGAGCTGCCCGCAAGAATGCTTGCAATGTTTGTTTTACCTCAAGCTTCGTGCCACGCCATGCTATGCCTCTCTGCTCTGCAGTGTGAAGGACATGTACGCGCATGTGAACCAGGAGTCAGGCCTTCCTGCGCCTTTGATCGCAGATGACGTCTACGAGATTATCATGAAGGTGAGAGAGACAGGGCCTTGTAGGAGATCAGAATGAAGTTCAACCTTGTTCGGCAGTAATGTTTGTGACGCAAGGAGGGTGGAGTATCAGCTGCACGTATCCTTCTCTTATGATTTCATTTTCTCTGTCTATCCATCTCCCTGTACGTAACAGCATGCCTAACAGCCTGTTCTATAGGCGTTTAATAAAATCATATTTCTTCCTCCCATTCCTTCTGTCCGTCCACCTCCCTGCACCTAACAGCATGCGGAGAGGCTAGACAGCGAGGTCATATACGACCGGGATTTCGACTATGACTACTTTGGATTCAAGACGCTTGAACGCTCCTACCTGCTCAAGGTGAGACCCTCCCACCCAGTGACCCAGTTGTGCATGGAAGGGCACAAGGGAAGGGAGAGGCTAGACAGTGAGGTCATATACAACCGGGGTTTTGACTATGACTACTTTGGCTTCAAGACACTCGAGCGCTCCTACCTGCTCAAGGTGAGACCCCCCCCTCGCCCCAGTTGTGCATGAAAGGGCACAAGGGAAGGGAGAGGCTAGACAGCGAGGTCATATACGACCAGGATTTCAACTATGACTACTTTGGCTTCAAGACGCTTGAATGCTCTTACCTGCTAAAGGTGAGTGGCAGGCAGGCAGGCAGGGGTTGGCAGGATGCAGCCGGTGGTGAACCTCATGCTACCCCATTGTTCAAGGTGAACAAGAGGTAGGTGAAGCGACCACAGCACATGCTGATGCCAGTGGTGGTGGGCGTTATTGTGTGGTGTGGTGTGGTGTGGTGTAGGCTTATGCATGGCACCTTTTCCCTCCCCACTCTCCCTTGTCTTCTTTCAGTCGAACGGGAATAGTGGTGGAGCGACCACAGCACTTGTTGATGCGAGTGGCAGTGGGGATACACAAGATGGGAATTGTGTCATTTGTCTACTTACATACCCCTTGTCTCCTCAATCTCTCCTGGCAGGTGAACGGGAAGGTGGTGGAGCGGCCGCAACACTTGTTGATGCGAGTGGCGTGGGAATACACAAGGAGGTGCAGGCTTACACGTTGCACCCCTTCCCTCCTTTTTCTCTCTTCTCCTGCCAGGTGAACGGGAAAGTGGTGGAGCGGCCGCAGCACATGCTGATGCGAGTGGCGGTAGGCATTCACAAGGCGGACATAGAGGCTGCCGTGCAAACGTACCACCTCATGTCCCAGCGATGGTTCACACATGCTTCGCCCACGCTCTTCAATAGCGGCACCCCGAGGCCGCAGGTAGGTCTGGCTGTTTGAATCCCTCTGTAGTGTGGTGTGGTCACTAGAGTATGAGCATTGATGCATTCACAAGGCGGACATAGAGGCTGCCGCGCAAGCTTAACATCTCATGTCCCAGCGATGGTTCACCCACGAGGCGGGATGAGACAAAGCTGAAGATATTGGAGGCTTCATGCGTGCAAACCAGCTCTTTGTGGATCATGAGACTGTGAGTTGTGATGATAACTTGGTGTGATTCGAGTTGACTCGATGCACATTCAGATTTTGGCGCACACGCGTGTATGAGCCGTGAGCAGCTGCTTCCTGGTATGCATGAAGGAGGACAGCATCGAGGGCATCTACGACCCGCTCAAGGAGTGCCTATAAGCTTGTCTCTTCCTGCTACTGTCCCACGTGTTCTCCCCTGTGAGCAGCTGAGCAGCTGCTTCCTGGTATGCATGAAGGAGGACAGCATCGAGGGCATCTACGACCCGCTCAAGGCGTGACCTGGATTTTCCCTTCCTCTTCCCCCCCGCTTCCCCCTGGGATAATCCTTTGATCAGCTGAGCAGCTGCTTCCTGGTATGCATGAAGGAGGACAGCATCGAGGGCATCTACGACACGCTCAAGGAGTGCGCAGTGATCAGCAAGTCGGCGGGCGGCATTGGCTTGTCCGCACACTGCATTCGAGCCAAGGGCAGCTACATCAGAGGGACGAACGGCATGTCGAATGGGATAGTGCCCATGCTGAGGGTTTTTAATGATACTGCGAGATACGTGGACCAGGGGGGAGGCAAGCGCAAAGGTGAGGTTTAGGGTTCAACGAGGGTGCGTATGTTTGGGGTCTGTCTGTGTACTTATGTAGTGCCCATGCTGAGAGTGTTCAAAGACAGGGCGAGGCACATGGACCAGGGCGGAGGCAAGCTCAAAGGTACAGATGAGGTTGACATTACGGGTTCGAAATTATGGGTTCAAGGTTTCGGGGTTAGTGCGCACTGCAAGGGCAGCTTAAAGCCTGCGTCCCAAATTGCGGACCGCGCGGGTCAAGTTTTTAAAACTTGACGAAGTTGAGTGTCCAAGCTTTTGAAAGTCACGCACCTGCAATTTGGGACTTTCGAAGACATTTTCACTCACCAGGGGGAAAAACGAGGGTTGGCTGGGTCTCGCGAAAAAAAAAACGAGCCTAGACGAAATTGGAAACTCTCGCCAAAGCCCACACCAGGAAAACTGCAATTTGGTCAACATTTAAAAGCATGAACAATTTGGGCCGCCGGCTTTAAATTGTGGCACCAATCGCATGTTGAACGGCATTAGCACCCATGCTGAGAAGGTGTTCAATGATAAATGCATTGCGTCCCCCTGTTTCCCTGCCAACCACCCCTGCCCTTATGGCTGTTCCTTCCCCTTCCACCCATCTTTCCCTCTTTCAGGTGCCTTTGCTGTTTATATCGAGCCTTGGCATTCAGACGTGTTTGACTTCCTTGACCTGAGGAAGAACCACGGCAAGGAGGAGAACAGGGCGAGGGACCTGTTCTATGGGCTGTGGATTCCTGACCTCTTCATGCAACGCGTGCAGGTGAGAGGGGCTGTGCGGCTAATGACTTTCTTAACCTTTGTAAACTCTTTAATTTTTTTTTTTTCCCTCCACTCTCGCATCCCCGCCACGCTTTGCCCCCATCCGCAATTCACATGCCCTGGTCGTTTCTTAGCCCAAAGGAGACCCCTCTAAAATCTGAACAGTTCCCAACCGCCTCTTTCCCCCCCCTCCCTCTTCTCTGCTCCCATCCGCAGCCCAACATGCCGTGGTCATTCTCTGTCCCAACGAGGCCCCTGGCCTGGTTGCGTGAACCCTTGCTAAACTAAAGCCCCACACTTCCCTTAATTGTTCGCTCCTTTCTTCCACACCCCAACCCCAGTCCAACATGACATGGTTGCTCTTCTGTCCCAACGAGGCCCCTGGCCTGGCCTGGGTGCTGCCTGATAGAGATTCTCTTCTTCCCTTCCACCCAATTCTTCTCTTCCCCTCCCTCCCCCTTCCCCCCCCCCCATCCCCCCAGTCCAACATGCCTTGGTCGCTCTTCTGTCCCAACGAGGCCCCTGGCCTGGCAGACTGCTGGGGGGAGGAGTTTGAGGCGCTGTACCTCAGATACGAGAGGGAGGTGGGTGCTTGGCTGGCTGGTAAGGGTGTGTTAGTAGCAACATTAGAAATGCGTGGTTGGGGTTTGGCTGGCCTGGCGGACTGCTGGGGGGAGGAGTTTGAGGCGCTGTACCTGAGATACGAGCGGGAGGTGGGTGCTTGGTGATGGGGTGTATGCTGTGCTTCTACTAGCAAACCCTGCTTCTGTCGCATGCCAGATCCTTGTTTGCTGAGACCCTGCTTCTACCCTTTTGAGACGTCGCGAGCCAGATTCTTGGTTGTTGAGTTTCTCTTGCAACCCTTTTCCTCTCGTCCTCTTCACCTTCTCCTGCATGATCTGGGCCGAGCCAAGCGGGTGATTCCGTCACAGAAGCTCTGGTTTGGCATCTGTGAGGCGCATTGTTCCCCCTTACTCTTCACCTGCCCCTTTGGGCTCACCCCTCTTCCTTTCTAACCTGTGTTTTTCCGTGCATGGCCGAGCCAAGCGGGCGATACCGTCCCAGAAGCTCCAGCTCGCTTGTTGTGCGGCATAGTTGTCCCGTTTTCCCCTTCTTCTGTCCCATTGTCCTCCCCGTTTCTCCCTTTAGGGTCGAGCCAAGCGCGTGATACCGTCACAGAAGCTCTGGTTTGCCATCTGTGAGGCGCAGATTGAGACAGGCAACCCGTACATGCTGTTCAAGGTGGGTGCTGCTCTGGTCTGTGTGAGGGATGTGGTGCTGTGGTTTACTGTGCTGTGTTCTTTTAGTCGATTTGAGCACCATCTGTGAGGCGCAGATTGAGACAGGCAACCCGTACATGCTGTTCAAGGTGGGTGCTGCTCTGGTCTGTGTGAGGGGTGTGGTGCTGTGGTTTACTGTGCTGTGTTCTTTTAGTCGATTTGAGCACCATCTGTGAGGCGCAGATTGAGACAGGCAACCCGTACATGCTGTTCAAGGTGGGTGCTGCTCTGGTCTGTGTGAGGGATGTGGTGCTGTGGTTTACTGTGCTGTGTTCTTTTAGTCGATTTGAGCACCATTTGTGAGGCGCAGATTGAGACAGGCAACCCGTACATGCTGTTCAAGGTACGTGCTGCTGTGGTCTGCGCGTGGGGTATGGTGCCGTGCTTTAATGTGCTGTGCTTTGTGAGTCGATTCGGACACCATTTGTGAGGTGCAGATTGAGACAGGCAACCAGTACATGCTGTTTAAGGTGAGAGCTTTGGTTCTGCATTGCCTGTGGGCTATGGTGCTGCTGTTTACTCTTCTGTGCTTTCTGAGTCGGCTCGAACGCCGTCTGTGAGGCGCGCACGAGTTAAGAAGGCAACTTGTGCTGCTGAATGCCATTCTCTAAAGCACCCTCTCTTTCGCAACGCCTTCTCTCTTCCCACGAGCAGGACGCGTGCAATCGCAAGTCGAACCAGCAGAACCTGGGAACTATCAAGTGCAGCAATCTGTGCACAGAGATTGTCGAATATACCAGCCCTGAGGAAACTGCAGTCTGCAACCTTGTGTCAATTGCCCTGCCTCGCTTCGTGCGGGAAAAGGTGAGAGAAGGTTGGGATAGTGAGGTGGCACAGTGGTAGGGAGTGTAGGCACCATCAAGTGCCAGCCAGAGAGTGGTGGGGAGTGCAGCAACCTGTGCACAGAGATTGTAGACTTCACGAGCCCACCACTTGTGAAGAGACTGCTGTCTGCAACCCTTGTGTTTCCCGCTCCTCACGGTTGCCTGCCAGTTGATGCCATCTGCGCTGCAGGGGGTGCTGTCTGAAACTATTTTTGAGAATTCCAAAAAAACATATCACGTGTCCTGGCCATTAATGTTGTGTGTGGTGCAGGGGGTGCCGTCTGAAGCCCATCCGTCCAAGCTGACTGGAAGCCTCAACCACGACCAGCGATTCTTCGACTTTGAGAAGCTGGGGGAGGTGAGATGACCCGTGGCTTTCCTCCCTTTCATTCTCAACTTGCTTTGAGATACTTCTCTTACCCCGCCCACCAGCCACTCCTTTTTGAGGCGCCTCAAAAGGTCGTTTTTGAGGCGCCTCAAAAACATTCTCAACTTGCTTTGTGTTACTTCTCTTACCCTGCCCACCAGCCACTCCTACCTTCTGATTCCCTGCCCGAGTCCGTCTCCCCATGCTCACGCCACCTTAGATCGCCATGTTTGTATCATGTAACCTCAACAGAGTCATCGACGTAAACTACTATCCCACCCTCACCCACCTCTCCCTCCCGTTCCCCACTTGCTTCCATCTCCCCACGGTCCTCACTCACTCATTTCTCCCCCTTGTCCCTCCCCTTGCCTGCAACCTCCAGATCACGGAGGTGGTAACACGCAACCTCAACAGAGTCATCAACGTCAACTACTATCCCACCGAGTCACCATCCTTCCTTACCCACTCCTCCCCCTCACTCCCCCACTTGCATCTGTCTCCCATATTTGCGCACATCAGATAAAGAAGGTGGTAACACGTAACCTCAACCGAGTCATCGACGTCAACTACTCTTTGCTGTCCTCACCCACCCCTCCCCTCCATTCCCCTGCCTGCTTCTGTCCCTTGTCTGCGCACATCAGATCACAGATGTGGTAACACGAAACCTCAATAGTGTCATCTACGTCAACCACTTACCCTCCGAGACACAGTCCTCACTCACTCATTCCTCCCCCTTGTCCCTCCCCTTGCCTGCAACCTCCAGATCACGGAGGTAGTGACACGCAATCTTAACAGAGTTATTGACGTCAACTACTATCCCACCGAGTCAGCCCGTCGCTCCAACATGCGCCACCGGCCCATCGGCTTAGGGGTGCAGGGGTTGGCAGATGCGTTCATCCTGTTGGGCATGCCCTTTGACTCGCCTCAGGTATGTGGTACATCATACATGCAAGGTTTGGTACGGAGGGCACGGAAACGAAGCCCCTCTACTTCTTCACCTTCCCCCTCCCAACTACTATCCCTCTCACCTTGGCCCCATTTTCAATCACTTTATTCACATTCAACTGCTCCTACAGTTTGCTCAGCTGGTGGATGCGCAGAAATTGTTTGTGAGGTGCTGCAGAGTAAGGTGGAGCAGTTGAATGGGCAGGTGGAGCAGTTCAATGGACAGGTGAATGGGCAGTTGAATGTGCAGTTGAATGGGTAGTTGAATGGGCAGGTGGAGCAGTTGAATGAGCACTTTCCTCTCCAGTTCTTAAACTTTAGCCTTTCCTCCAGCCTCCACCTCTCTCTCTCATTCTCCATCTTCCCATTCAACTCCTCCACCTGCCCATTCAACTGCTCCACGTGCCCATTCGACTGCTCCACCTGCCCATTCAACCACTCTACCTTGCTCTGCAGCTCCTCTACCAACTTCTGCGTATCCGCCAGCTGCGCAAACTGCAAGAGCAGCTGAATGGGAGGAAACTATCTACTGCCATGCACTGCACACATCATACCAGCTCGTTCATTCGTCTTTGTCCTTTTCTCGCTGCTTCTCCTCTCCCTTCCTCTCCTTCCCCCTTGCCCATTGCTATCCATCAGACATGACAACTGAATTGGGGCATATTCGAGACCATCTACTACCACGCACTGCGCACGTCGTGCCGCCTCAAACCATGTCTTGTCTTCGTCCTTCATCTCACTCCCTCTCCCCCTCCCCCTTTCCAGGCCCGACAACTGAACCGGGATATCTTTGAGACCATCTACTTTCGCACGTCGTGCCGCCTCAAACCATGTCTTGTCTTTGCCCTTCATCTCACTCCCCCTCCCCCTCCAACTTTCCAGGCCCGCCAACTGAACCGGGACATCTTCGAGACCATCTACTACCACGCGCTCCGCACGTCGTGCCTGCTGGCAAGGGAGGAGGGCACCTACGAGTCGTACCCTGGTTGTCCTGTCAGCAAGGTACGCTGCTGACGTGGCATGTTTTGTGCTGCGTGACCTATGCTGACATAGGATGTTTAAGTTGATGATGACGTGTCATGTTATGTATTCTTCCAGGACTGGCCAGCCCTGAGAGCCAGCATTACAGCTCACGGGCTGTGCGACTCCCTCCATGTGGCGCCCACGCTCACCTCACCTCATGCCCTGTGCCTCGTCTTACCCCCCGTCCAACTTCTCCAGGGCGTGTTACAACCAGACATGTAGGGGGTCACCCCTTCGGACCGCTGGGACTGGGCAGCACTGCGGGCCGACATAGCGGCTCACGGGCTGCGAAACTCGATCCTGGTCGCTCCCGCTTCTGCTGATGCCCACTCCCTGCCGGTGCTGACTCCGCTCCATGTGCGCTGCCCCCCTATTCCCCCTCAACCCTTACAGGGCATCCTCCAGCCGGACATGTGGGGAGTGACTCCCTCGGATCGTTGGGACTGGGCAGCACTGCGGGCCGACATAGCGGCTCACGGGCTGAGGAACTCCCTGCTGGTTTCTCCCTGCCGGTGCCGACTCCGCTCCATGTGCGCTGCTCCCCTATTCCCCCCTCAACCCCTACAGGGCATCCTGCAACCAGACATGTGGGGAGTGACTCCCTCTGACCGCTGGGACTGGGCAGCACTGCGAGCCGACATAGCGGCTCACGGGCTGCGCAACTCCCTGCTGGTGGCGCCCATGCCCACGGCTTCCACGAGCCAGATCCTGGGCAACAACGAGTGCTTCGAGCCGTACACCTCCAACATCTACTCCAGACGAGTGCTGAGGTAAATTCAGGCGTGGTTTGAGTCATTTTTAGGTGGGATGGGTGTTGGGAACTCCCTGCTGGTGGCGCCCATGCCCACGGCTTCCACGAGCCAGATTTTGGGCAACAACGAGTGCTTCGAGCCGTACACCTCCAACATCTACTCGAGAAGAGTTCTCCGGTGAGTGTGTGTCTGGTGGTGGGTGAATGGCTCACAGGCTGCGCAACTCCCTGCTGGTCGCACCCATGCCCACGGCTTCCACCAGCCAGATTTTGGGCAACAACGAGTGCTTCGAGCCGTACACCTCCAACATCTACTCCAGACGAGTGCTGAGGTACATGGGAGTGGTTGTCCGGTATGTGTGATGGAGATTATGGGAGTGGTTACGAGCCCTGCAACACTCCCCCCTTCTCCCCTGTCCTCTCTCCCTCTCCTCAGTGGCGAGTTTGTGGTGGTGAACAAGCATCTGCTCAGCGGCGTAACCCATCTGGGCTCTGGTCGCCAAGCCCTACGACGCCCTAAGAAGAGAATCTAGTTCTCCCGTCCCTGTATTATTTCCTCTACTCACCCACCCTCCCCCCCCCCTCCCCTTGTGCAGTGGCGAGTTTTTGGTGGTGAACAAGCATCTGCTCAACGACTTTACTCATCTCGGCCTCTGGTCGACAAGCCTTAGGACGACCTAAGAAGGCCTTTTCTTTCTCCTCTGTTCCCCTCTCCCCTCCCTTTGGCCCCCCTCTCTCCCAGTGGCGAGTTCGTGGTGGTGAACAAGCATTTACTCAACGACTTGACACATCTCGGCCTGTGGTCGCCCGGCCTCAAGAACGAGATCATGTACCGGAATGGGTCTGTGGAGGGGATTGACGAAATTCCACAACGCCTGAGAGACATTTACAAGTGAGTGCAAGCAGGTTATCGCTGGTGCTGGTAACTAAGTAACCACCAGAAGAATTTGACCTCAAGAACTAGGTCATGTACTGCAATGGGTCCATGGAAGGGATTCACGAGATTCCCCAACACCTGAGAGATATTTACTAGTGAGTGTGGGTACTGCTGGTGTCCATGGGAGCTTACAACTAGAGTGGTGGTAACCAGGCAGTCACCAGTCGCCTGACCTCGAGAATGAGATCATGTACTGCAATGGGTCGGTGGAGGGGATTGATAAGATTCCCCAACACCTGAGGGACATCTACAAGTGAGTGCAAGGAGGTTATGGCTGGTGCTGGTAACCGGGTAACCACTGGTCGCCCGACCTGAAGAACGAGATCATGTACCACAATGGATGATCGGTGGAGGGGATTGATGAGATTCCAAGGGACCAACACCAGTCATGCACCTAAGGGATATTTAGCTTCAATTTCAGTGGCATTTTTGCTTGTTACGGGTGTGTTCGCTGTGGGGGTGTGTGTGTGCAGGACGGTGTGGGAGATGAAGCAGAGGGCGATTGTGGACATGGCAGCAGACAGAGGGGCGTTCATTGATCAGAGCCAGTCACTTGGCTCACGCCTCCCTACATCTCACCTTTACGTTGGTCCTTTGTTACTTTTACTTGTCGTGCGTGTGCGGGTTGGGTGGTTCACAGGACGGTGTGGGAGATGAAACAGAGGGCGATCGTGGACATGGCAGCAGACAGAGGGGCGTTCATCGATCAGAGCCAGTCGCTCAACATCCACATGGATGCTCCTACTTTTGGCAAGCTGACATCGCTGCACTTCTACACGTGGGGCAAGGTGAGTGCTCTTTTCACGTGGGACAAAGCGAGTGTGTTTGGTGGGCAGTTACTATCAGGTGCCCAGATGAGTGCATGGGAGGGGCTGCTGTTAGTTCACCGACCAGCACCTATGGCAAGCTGACATCGCTGCACTTCTACACATGGGGCAAGGTGAGTGAGTGCGTGTGTTGGGGAATTCTTATCAGGGTGTGAGTGCATGGGAGTAACTGCTGTGTGTTTATCATCCAGAGCCAGTCACTCAACATCCACATGGACGCTCCCACCTTCGGCAAGCTCATGTCTTTACATTTCTACATGTGGGGAAAGGTGCGAGCCAATTTTTATCGGTGGTGCGTTTGGGTGGTGTAAGTGCATGAGAATTCTTGCTCTCATTTCATTTGACCAGCGCCAGTCACTCAACATCCACATGGACGCTCCCACCTTCGGCAAGCTGACATCACTACACTTCTACACGTGGGGCAAGGCGAGTGCACCCTCCACTCTTCACTCTTTGTGCATGCAGGGCTTGAAGACGGGCATGTATTACCTGAGAACGAGAGGGGCTGCAGATGCCATTAAGTTGCTGAGTAGACTCAAAAGCTCTTGGCGCTTGACACTCATACTCCACTCCCCACTCTCCACTCCCCACTCTCCACTCTCCACTCTCCACTCTCCACTCTCCACTTTCCACCCTCCACTCTTCATTCTTGGTGCATGCAGGGCTTGAAGACGGGCATGTATTACCTGAGAACGAGAGGAGCAGCAGACGCCATTAAGTTCACCGTCGATGCAGAAGCTGCCAAAAGGGTATGTCCTTTTGAAAGCTTTGGCAAGGTGTGTCAAAACGCTTTGAAAGGTGACAGGCAGCAAGGTAGCAGCGGAAATGCGAGGCAGGTGAAGGAGGTGCACATGCAAGCCAGGCCAGCGAGTGTGAGTGTCACCGGATAGATAAAACCCCTCTCTCCCCGATTCCCCTGCTCCCCACCCCCTCCACGCTTCCACTTACACACACCAACAGAGCCAGAAGAGGAGGGTAAGGGAGGCGGAAATTAAATGTTTCTTGGAAGGCGGAGCGGAGGTACAAGCCAGGGCAGCCGGTGTGGATGAATCCTGAATCAACCCTTCGCTCTACCCAACCCCCTCCCCCCCCCCCCACACACTCTTCTATATACCAGAGTCAAGAGAGGAGGGTGCGGGAGGCAGAGATGCAAGCACGGCTGGCAGAGATGAAATGTTCCTTTCAGCGATGCGGAGATGAAGTGTTCCTTTTAACAAGGCAGAGATGCAAGCATGGCTGGCAGAGATGACATGTTCCTTTCAGCGAGGCAGAGATGCAAGGCATGCCATTCGGTGTGACTGAATCAGAGTAACCCCTCACTCACTACCCCTCGCCCTTCTATTCCCCCCCACCCCCCTTTTACATGTACACGGTACCAGAGTCAGGAGAGGAGGGTGAGGGAGGCAGAGATGCAAGCACAGCTGGCAGAGATGACATGCTCCTTGGAGAACAGAGACGGCTGCGTTTCATGCGGCAGTTGACACGGGCAGTTGACACAATGGGCTCATCCGCACATGGACTGAAATGGCGCTAGGTCACTGCCTCCCTAGTGTCTAGGTTTTTTGTAGATTGGCAGGCAGGCAGCATGCCTGTTAGTTGAGTGCAATGTTTTACTCGTAGGGTATACATGCTGTTGACATGGTGTCAGCATGGTGTTTTAGTACATGTTGGTATTTGCATCGTAGAGTCCTCCCCAACCCAACCACCACGTAACCCTCGAGGACACAAACCAAGTACAGGTCATGACGTTTCATCAATGTGGCATCGCATGACAAGGAGCTGACTGACTGACAGCCCCTGGTGCCTGGCAAGAGCGTTACAGAAGGCCAATGAGCATTGAACACTCAAAAGTCGCACAAGCTTGTTTCATGAGTGATATTTGAGGACAATGCTACCACTGCCGCAAGCCAAGCGCTCCCAAACAGGTCCGCCCAGTGCCCACCCTTGAGTTCAAAGTAGAGAGCGACCAAGTCCCAGAAGTGCTCGTCATATGAGTAGCGGTGGAGGAAAGAGAGAGGCCATTCCTAAACAGCATGCTACTGCTGCTGCTGCACGCCCCAACAGGTATTTTTATCCATCAAACATCATCCCTGCCAGCGTTTTCGAGGCGCCTAAAAAACGACATCATCCCTGCCAGCGGCGTTTAAGGCGCCTCAAAAACGACATCACCCCTGCCAGCGGCGTTTGAGAGCTCCAGCAGGAAGGCGAAGAGGTTGAGGATATCGAGGTAGAGAGCCACCGAGGCCCATATGTACTCGTCGTACGAGTAGCGGCGGAGGAAGCGCCGTGACTAAAGATAATGCTACTGGCCCATCTGTCCCGTCATCTAGTCCCTGCCGGCATTCAAGAGCTCTAACAGGAAAGTAAAGAGGTTGAGGATATCGAGATAGAGAGCCACCGAGGCCCATATGTACTCGTCGTACGAGTAGCGGTGGAGGACGGAGGCAGTGTCAGAAGAGCATGCTACTGCTACACTCAAACGCACTCTCAAACAGGCCCTTTTGCCTGTCAAGCTAGTCCCTGCCAGCACTGAGTACCGTAGCTCTAGCAGGAAGGTGAAGAGGTTGATGATGTCAAGGTAGAGGGCGACAGAGGCCCAAATGAACTCGTTGTACGAGTAGCAGTGGAGGAGGGATGCAATGTTTGAGAACAATGCTACTGGCCCGTCTGTCCCATCATCTAATCCCTGCCGGCATTCAAGAGCTCTAGCAGGAAGTGCCGGGTTTATCTCATCTAACAAGTTAAGGATATTGAGATAGAGAGCAACAGAGGCCCAGATGTACTCGTCGTAGGAGTAGCGGCGGAGGAAGTGCTGTGTCTAAAGATAATGCTACTGGCCGGTCTGTCCCATCACCTAGTCCCTGCCGGCATTCAAGAGCTCTAACAGGAAAGTAAAGAGGTTGAGGATATCGAGATAGAGAGCGACAGAGGCCCAGATGTACTCGTCGTACGAGTAGCGGTGGAGCAGGGAGGCGGTGTCGTAGATGATGTAGAGGCTGAATATGATGGCTCCTATGGCTGCATAGATGGTGTTGAGGAGCGGACCGAAGGGGAAGAATATCTGGGGGGGGGAGGATTGGGGATATTGGGGGAAGAGGGGAAATGGCAGAGAGAAAAAGGGAGGAAGGCGGTATCGCAGATGATGTAGAGACTGAATATGATGGCCCCCATGGCTACATAAATGGTGTTGAGGGAGCAGGCCAAAGGGGAAGAATATCTGGAGAGAGATTTTGAGAGCGGAGGGGTAGTAAGGGATGAAGGGGAAATAAGTGAGAGAAAGAGAGGGAGGTGGGGTTAGAGATTCGCGGGGTGGTAAATGATATAGAGGCTGAATACAATGGATCCGATGGCTGCATAGATTGTGATGAGAAACGGTGCCTAAGGGGAAGGAGATCTGGAAGGGGAAATGCATATAGGGGAGAAAAGAGAGGGGAACGACGCAGATGATGTATCGTAGATGACATAGAGGCTGAATATGATGGCTGCGATGGCTGCATAACACATGCAGGAGGAGGCATGGGCTACAGCACGGATCATAACAATGCAGTGATGCTCACTTACCTGAATGATCATCAAGAAGATGAGGATGGAAACAGCAGTGAAGAGAATGGGACCCAGCGAGGAGAAGCATTGGCTACTACAGGAAGGAGCAAACCAAAAATGGCCAGGACTCTTAACACTGCAGTGCAGTGACGCTCACTTACCTGAATGATCAAGGAGAAGAAGAAGATGGAAAGGGCCGTGAAGAGAATGGGGCCCAGCCAGGAGAAGTCTTCTCCGTGGCGCGCCGCCCAGAAGGTGAAGAGCGTGAGAGACACGACCACGATCGCTGTCAGAAGAATGGCTTCCAACACAATGTTGGCTGGGAAGGGGCGAAGAGGGACAGAGAGAGGAACAATGTTGGCAAGCAGGGGGCAAGAGCGTGAAGAGCGTGTGAGAGAGACGGCCACGATTGCTGTGAGGAGGATGGCTTCCAAGACAACGTTGGCTGGAAGGGGATGGGGAAGATGGAGAAAAAAGGGAGGGAAGGAAAGGACAAGCAGAGGTGAAGAGCGTGAGAGAGACGGCGACGATTGCTGTCAGGAGAATTGCCTCCAAGACAATGTTGGCTGGGAGGGGATGGGGGAGATGGAGAGAGGAGAGGGAAGCAAAGGCAGGTAGGGGGAACGAGCGTGAGGGAGATGCGCGAGCACATGTGCTATCAGGTGAATGGCTTGATGTTGGTATTGAATGAACGGGGAAGATTGGGGAGGAAGGGGAGGAAACGCAAGCAAGCAAGGAAGACACGCGAGCACGATGCTGAAGGAGAGGGAGGAAGAGGCTGAAAATTGTACCAAGGAAAAGCTGCTGCCGCTGTTACTATGTTCTGTTTATGCAGTTGGTACTTATAGGATGTGCTAATGATGCACATGGTAGTGGTGCGATGTGCTAATAACGCAGACGTTGCTACTGATGCCGTGTGTTACCTGGAAGGAAGGCGCATGAGAGGCTGAGAGTGATGCTGAAGGAGAGCGAGAAGTGGCCATCCTATCAATCATGCACGTGCTTGTGCTACTGATGCAAGTGGTACCGATACCATGTGTGCTGTGTGTTACCTGGGAGGAAGGCACATGAGAGGCCGAGGGTGATGCTGAAGTAGAGCGAGACGAGGATCAATCAGCATGCACATGCTTGTGCTAGTGATGCAAATGGTACCGATACCATGTGTGCCATGTGTTACCTGGGAGGAAGGCACATGAGAGGCCGAGGGTGATGCTGAAGGAGAGGGAGAAGAGGCCGAGGAGGATGAGGTTGAGCGGATGGTGCTGGTGGTAGGCTGAGAGCGCACAGATCACTGCAGTGGGGGGGATTGGGAAGAATTCAGAGACCGGGGTTGAAGGGAACGGAAAGAGGGGTGGGGTGAGCGGATACGAATGATGAGGTTGAGGGGATGGTGCTGGTGGTTGGCTGAGAGCGCACAGATCACTGCAGGGTGAGGGGGAAGGGAGGGGGGGGGGAGGTGGAGGGGGAGGGGGGACAGGGGGAAGGGGATGAGCCGAAAGGAAGAAGAGGCCGAGAAGGAGTAGGTTGAGCGGGTGGGGCTGGTGGTAGGTTGAAAGCGCACAGATCAGTTACAAGGAAGTAATGGAGTTAGACTATGACGAGAAAGAATGGGAAGAATGAATCTAGACATGCACATTTTTTAGACAAGATGACTTAAAGAAAAGGAAATGAAAACAAAACAAACAATATACTGGAGAGTGGGGGGCGGGGGCAGGGGGGAGGGGGGGGGGGGGGGGGGCAGGGGGTAAGCGGGGGGGAGACTTTGCTGGTTGAAAAACAAGAGTGAACGTGTCTTCACAGATGAAGGGGACGAGGACCCAAAACATGCCTACTCCAACAAAATTGCTGTCAGGAATGGGATTCGAACCCATGCCCTTTCGGACCAGTACCTGAAACTGGCGCCTTAGACCATCTCGGCCATCCTGACATGACAAGTTGTAATATGATAGCTACTGATGAGTGTGTCTGTGAAACGGTCTGAATTACTGACAATGTATTATTTTCAATGTCCGCAACAATTAGACTACGCGAAGCTAAGGCGTTAGGGAAAAAAGTCCTTACAAATGAAGGGGACGATGACGCTGGCGACGACGAGCAGAGGCGAATGCATGACAGTTAGGCGAACGCTCTCCACCTTCACCACCACCAAGGCTGCTACGAAAGTCAGCAGCAGCTGGAAGGACAGGATGCCGTACACCTGTGGTGTGGTATGGTATAGTTCGGTGAGGGGGGGTTGTTTGAGCACAACAGTAGGGAAGAAGCGGTGAGGCGAGTGCGTGAGAGTGAGTCGCACGCTCTCCACCTTGACCACCACCATGGCTGCTACGACAGCTTGCAGCAGCTGGAA